CCTCATTAAATTTATTTATATCTATAATTTAATTTAATTTTAATTTATAAATATGAATTGATATTAGACCTTCATATAGGTAGTGATGCATGCATAACTTATTGTTGTAGTTTTAAATCAGTCAACAGAAAGTGAGAAACTTACCTCTTTAAAATTTGATGCCAAAAATTTTCTTAAAATATTACTGCAGACTAAAATATAAACCTTAATCATCGTTGCCTTTCCTAGGGAATAATTTGCCAAAAATCTGTCTAAGGTCTCTAGAGACAGCATTTGCTCAACTTTGTAAACCTTAAATTTTATAATATGCGATGCGATCCATCTATCAATGAATCCGAAATACATGGCTCCTGCGAAATTTCTGCGATATCCCGCAACAGAGGGCGTAACGATAGCGGAATCGAACCGGCGATATGTTAATGCGCGTCCGATCGTGACGCACGACGCTCGCGCGGACACTTGCCGCAGATGGCTGCGATAGCTACTTTGCAGTATTTTTGTGCCTTATTCGCTGCCTCAGCTGTTAGAAGCAATGCTATAAAATATAAAACTGAAAGCTTGAATCCTCTTCCGAACGGCGAGATCTTTCGCTGTTGATAGTTACTTAGTAGCCAGCCACTATAAGCAAGGCAGAAGCTGATATTAAACAAATTTGAATACTACAGATCATGTCGATAATATATAAATAGCTTTGTTTCAGGTGTAGCTATGGGAGTGATATTTATACAGATACTGCTTAAGTATTTCTTCATCGAAAGCTAAATCGCACTTTTCATTATTTCTCATATAGGAAGTGTGTGTAAAGTTCCTTACAAGCGCAGCTGTCAACGTTGTCCTTACAATAATACCGTAACTTTAGAGAACTATAATTCAAATTCAGATCAGTAAACTCATCAACATTTCTGATCCTGTTCTTATTAAACACCTTTTTGATGTTGTCTCACATATAACTGTCTCTACTCATACATAACAACATATAGAAGATAACACTTCTCGTTTTCTAGGAACCTTATCACTTTACATGAAGGTTTAAAGTTGTACGAGTTAAAACCATATAAATGAACGTTCCACCGGTGTCGAATTATATGATAGATGAACAAACCTCGTACAGAACAAACTAAAATAAATCAAGATGTTAAACTTTGATAATATCGACGTCATCTTTGTCATTCGGCTCTTTATGCCGTGTATTTGTTTCGTTGGTAGTTCTTTTTATTTTTAACGGGCAACACTGCGCTAATGGCGCCCATAGGCATGACGTTAAGTCGACAGTACCGATAGACCGACCGATAGAATTATGTTTGTAAATAGGTGCTTTGAATGATAAAAAAGTACTTAGCACGATTTTTTTTCCTTTGCGCTGCGTTAGGATGACTTTATCGGCAATTAACAAACCCACTCTAAGCCACGTTATCTTTGAAATAAAAGTATTTATAAAATTATAAATTTGTTCTTTTATCTTGGAAATATCAAACGTTCTCCGCTAAAAAATTAACTCGCGCTATTAAATTAGAAGAATTATTAGCGTCTACTAAATAATATTCAAAAACATTATTTCCAAATCTGACACATGCAATGCGCCTGCATACTGCGGCATCTTAAAAATCGCATGTTAGCAAAGCGGTTGTGCTTTTAAACTATGTTTATCAACTCCTATGACATCTCTTTGCTGAAACAATAAAAATATTGAAACATCGCCTAGAACAGCGAATTCCTCGTGGATTTTGTGATAAGAATTAAATGGATTTGCATGAACAACGATCGTATTTAATAGGCTGTTTGAAACTAAATTTTATTTCGACCTTGCGAGCTTTCGTAGCACAGTCATGCAAATTCTACTATTTAACTTGAATCACGGATTAAAGTCTGTCATATTACGAAATAATAACCTTTGCTTTAAGTTTAAAGTATAAAAACGTAACAGTTACTTTTGCTGCGTCACTAATTATTAGCAAAGATTTTTTTTTTACTAAAACAAAGCAATAGTAAATCTTGGATTAAAGGTCTACAGTATAATATTTTTGCTGTAAGATTACTTATGACCGATAAATTCAACGAAATAAAGAGAGTTCTTTGCGCTATATATAAAAAAGAACATAAAAATATACGGCAATAGATTATTCACGTATTAAACCCATGTCGTATCAGTTAGTAATGCCAATTAGACATTTTATTTTCGATGATTGAATTCATTTCCTATCGAAAGAATATATTAAACAATCAGTTCACCTCGAGGCATACCCTTGGCATTTGAAACACCACTACCATCTGAACATATTGATCTTATGTGACTTTCAAAATCTAGTTAAACTACACACTTATATTCCAATACACTTCGGTGTTTGTACTTGTGTACCTAGTAAATGTAATATGACTTATTGTTTTTTTTAAAGATTTTTTTTAATTATTGATGTGTATCATCTTTCCTCTCACTTTCCTGCAATTTGTGGGAGTGATTTCGTGAAATGGGACGGAAGTGTGTAACAGGAAGTCGCGAAAGCGCGCGCTATTTCATTTGATTTTAGAACATAATGTTCGAATGGCTTATTCCTTTTGTAGTAGGTTTTATTTCTTTTTTTACTAATATAAATGCTCGCCTTATATTAGTTGAAAACAGAAATAAAACCTCGGTTTCAAATGTTACACATCATACGCGACCACTGTAAGGCACGCTCGTTTTTTTTTTATTGTTATTAAAACATTCTTCATTTCTTCTTCTTCATCACAAACATCTTTGTCAACAACAATTGTCGGTGGTTCAGTGGTAGACAGCTCGCCTGGCACGCGGACGGTCCCGTTTAGATTCCCAACTAAGAAAGGACTTTTTTATTTTCCACATTTTCTAAGCCAGTGTATCATGAATTAACTAAGAATTACCTTTAAAAGTATCACTTGTATTTCATAAAACCACAGCAATTTTCAAATATACCTACTTAATAAAGTTACAAGGTCTGCAGCTGTTGAAAATTATAAAGCTTATTTTTATAATTGGTTTTTTGATTTGGTTAAATGACTTAGATTTTTTTGTGACAATAGCAAATAGATTCTTTTACTAATTTCAGCGCTATTGTCTACAATGAAACTAATAAATACGTATATGAAGATTAAGCAATAAAATTGTAACTACAGTAATTCAAAACATACATCATTTCACCCAAGATCGATTCAGGAATTCTTTAACAAACACATGTCATACATATCCGACCGAATCAAAATAGAAAAAGGAAAGGTTCGATGAACGAGTGGCTAACACATCTCGATCTCAAATCGTCAAAGCGGCAATTGAAACAAATAGTAGGGCGTCCCAGCTCTCATGTGATCGCTCACGGGGCGTCACACCGACAGATCACTATCTACGATTGTGTGACGCGTTCGATGCACGACTATTTTAATTGGAGCCTGATCTTCCATCTGATAAAGTTGAGATGCCAGCTTTGTTTTTTAAAAACCCTTATGGGCACGTGTTTGACGCACAAATACCATGTAGTGCATTCATGCTTTTGAATAAGTATTTTTTTTTTCTCATGTTTATGTAACTACTTAGTTGTGAGTTTTCAAATTGAAAATACATGGCATATTAAAGATAGACACTTAATTTAAAATAGAAACAGTCTACTCCATTTTACAGATTCAATAATGTGGAGATGTTTATAAAAACTTTGGCTTACTATTTTTAATTGAGATTACGGATTTATCAAAGCAGTGAGCAATTCATTCATCAACATACAAACGTAGCTGTTTAGGTAATATCTACTGCCATGTTAATTTAAATGCAGAATTTAATGTTTGCTGCGAATGCATTCCCTTTTTAGTCAAAGGTGAATTGTGATTCTGCTGTCACATACAAATATAATTTCTATGCAAATAATGCGGGCTCTATTTTAAACGAAACGAAACGTGTATGTTCGGATGTATGTAACCTGTGTAAGTACATAGCCACAGTCATTTGACATGTTTATAAAGACAAAAGGGTACAGATGCATATCATTTAACGAATCGAACTTGAGTTTCGAGAGCGTCGCTGAAACGACACCCAGTCACGCCATCTATCTGATTGCGCGTTCAACCTTTTCGCCAACCAACAATCACAGGCTTATAACTTATTTAACGAAAAACAGAAGCTGGTTACTAACGAAGGACGATAAGCGAAGCGAGCCTTCGGTATGACGCTAACATTAAGGTGCCAGATAAAAGCGCATTAGCTCAACCAATCGCACGTCACCACTGAATCGTAATGACCAATCGAAACGCGCAGGCACTAGGATAGCGTGACCCGAACGCAATCCGATTCAAGTGGTATTCGTTACCGCGAGATGGCGGTCGGCGCGCGCACACCAATCGTCGCGTCCATCTCGCTGTCGTGCCCATATAATGATCTTCACAGGGGCAGGAGAATGAAGTTGAGCCTCTCATTAATTGGCGTTTTGAGTCGAGATCGTCGGGCGAAAGATAGGTTAATTCCTTGCTTGGTAGAGATCGTTGTCGCTCAAAAAGGAAGGTGAGCGAACGTTTTCTGGAAATCAGATCCAATTACATGAGGGCCCGTTAAGTTTTTGTTCTGTTTGCCCCGGGCTGACTCACGTTCGCGATATTGATGGACGAGTATTGTTACAACCGGTTCGAATTGACGGCCGACCGATATTCAAAAACTTGCTAAACACGCAAAATCTACACGAGCATATTGGTCGTTTTTCTTTAAAGCCATCGGCGACCCCACCCACGCGGCGACATTTACATAGCGCGAGCACGTCTCAATTAGGACCGCTAATGTATGCCTCGACTCGGGAAGGCTGGATCTGACTGACGTCGACAGATAGCAGGCGAAACGTGACGAGTGACGACTATCGCGAGAAAACGCTGCCAACTTAGCATCGAACGTCTTTTAACATTAATAGGAAGATATCAAGCCCGATACATTTGCTTGACTATTTTGATCCATTTAAAGTGTTGATTTGGCTTTCGCATTCTTTGTTTTTAATTATGTTCTTTCACTATTCCAGGTGAAGACGAGGAATGGGGAAACGAGAGCGAGGCGATGCCCGGGGAACCACGCACGCCGAGTTCAGGAGGGGAGCGAGGAGCATCGAGCAGGGGAGCTTCACCAGCCTCAGGGGGATCGCCCGAAGCATCTCCGCCGCGGTTGCGCCTCAACACCAGCTTGGCTACGGATCCTGCGCTAGCGCCTTCAGCCGCACCTCTTAAACATGAACCTCCATCGCCGTCTCCTCCGCCTCCACCTGTACCGCAAACGAGAGATTTCCTCGCGCTCTCCGCTACGTTTCCAGCACTTTTTCCGGCGGCCACAGCCCCCGGTTATATCTGTAAGCCTTGTGGCATTCGCTATTCTTCATTGAGCACGCTACAAGCACACCAAGAACACTACTGTTCAAATAGAAGACCAAAAACCGCAGAAGGATCTGATACACCTGCGGACCCTGGAGCAGATGACTCCAGTAGCGACGCGAAAACGCCGCGACCACCAGGAAAACAATATGCGTGCACTTATTGCTCTTATAGTGCAGATAAGAAAGTCAGTTTAAATCGACACATGCGTATGCATGCTTCGTCGCCTGTCAGCAGTGTGACGCCTACGCCTACGCCAACGTCCAATGGTGAAGTGACTGATGGCCAACCGCCACAGGATCGTTACTGTGCCGACTGTGATATACGTTTCAGTTCTATCAAAACATACAGAGCTCATAAAGCTCATTACTGTAGCACAAGACAAGTTGTGAAACAAGCATTGGCTGCGGTGAGAGCCAGTTCAGTCACATCAGGATCTGCTCCGCCTTCACCAGGCGCAACACCTCCGAATCAAGCTCAGTATGCTCTGGCTTTACCAACTAACCCCATTCTGATAGTTCCATACTCGTTACTACGAAACGCAAGTACACTACCAGGAACAACTTTGCCCGATCCTGACACACCCTGTTTTTTGTTACCAAATGGCACATTTCAGCCTCTCAGCCGCGCTTTACCAAATATAAACACAGATGGCAAGGAAACGGAAGTCCTCAAATCGGCTAACAGACCTCGAGAGCCATCCAGAGACGCTGCCACACCACTAGATTTGAGCGTACGTCGTTCACCAGAATTTGTGACTACGGATGACCACGAAAAGGAGAACAGAATACGGTCTACGACTCCCGAACAGATAGTTTGTGCGCCTTCATTACCCGGTTCACCTGGTACGCCCTCACCCTCGCGAAGGTCGTCCTCTCCGAGTGCCTCCCCGCCGCCAAAAAGACAACGTCTGAATTCTAGAGGTCTCACACCTAAGCCACCTAGCATACCTTCACCGCCTGAGGAGAAATTTACTCCGGTAGCACCTCCGCCGATGATCACGCCCGCGTTGGCTTTGCGTCTAGCGAGTGAAATGCCCATCGCGGCTTCACCTCAGGTTCTAGTAAAACAAGGAGTCTCGAAATGTAAAGAATGCAACATCGTCTTCTGCAAGTTCGAGAACTACCGTATCCACAAGAGGCATTACTGTTCTTCCGGTGGCGGAGAAGAGAGAGCGAGTCCGGCGCCGCCCGAGCCGGGGCCCCCGCCGCAGTATCGCCAGCTGATTTGTTTAGCGTGTGGGATACATTTTAGTTCGTTGGATAATTTGACCACTCACCAGTCGTTTTATTGTACGAAGAGGGAGACCCGCTCGCCTAGGACGGTGGCGGAGGTGGCGAGGCCTACTCCTGGTTCGGAGGGCGGGTGGAAGTGCCCGTGCTGCGAGGTGGTGTCGCCGACGGCGGCGGCGGCGCAGCGCCACATGGAGGCGCACGCGGGCGTCAAGGCGTTCCGCTGCACGATCTGCCGGTACCGAGGCAACACCCTCAGAGGGATGCGCACACATATCAGAATGCACTTCAATAATAAGAAGCCCGCAGACCTACAGGTGAGGATGAAGTTTTTATTTTTAAAAAACAACTAGAAGATAAGATCATATTGCTTGCTTACTTACTTTGGTATATATGCATAGGTGTTATAGTTTCTCCCCTAAATAATAATTAATATTAGTCATATAAAATGAGGAGCACGATAGCGCAAGTGGTTAGCGCGTTCGGCTGCGATCGTTGAACTAAAGCAACTTTCGCAGTGATCGGTCATTGGATGGGTGACCAAAAATTACTATCTCGAGTTCCTCCGTGCTTCGGAATGCACGTTATGCCGTTGGTCCGCGCTGCATCTGTAGTCGTTAGCACCCACCAATCCGCACTGGGCCCGCGTGGTGGTTCATGGCCCAATCTCTCTATTCCATCCATAGGGAAGGCCTGTGCCCCAGCAGTGGGCGCATTAATAGGCTGATGATGATGATGTTTAGTCATATCTCAAAGACTTCGCCGAGTCTAAATTTTTGAACATAAATAATAGTTACCAAAAGTCTAACTGCATGAAAAAGTTATCTTATTGCGTATTCTATATTGTTCATTTCATGCCAATCGAGCAAAGAAAACTTAATATTAGAAGAGATTATTGATTTTCTGTAGATAACCAATAGTACAATAACTATAAATTACAGTTAACTTATGTTTGTCTGCTTGTTTGTAGGCACAAGACGCTATTACTATTGAATGGATAAAATAATCATAAAATAAATTCACAAAAGAAAAATATGAAAAAAAGACGCTCGTCCCTGGATCTTAAACAGCAGGTACATTAATTAAAATGGACATGAACGAAGCGCTAGACATATGAACGAGATTTTTCTTGTTCGTTCCAGGAAGAGAGCTACATTGCGTGCGTGCTGGAAGAAGACAATAGAGAGGTGACGTCTCCCAGTCCAGCCGTAGCGGGGGAAAAAGTTCACCGCTGCGGTAGCTGCGCCTACACCTCAACTTACCGAGGGAATGTTGCCAGGCACGCCCGTCTGGTACACGCCACCGACGAGGTAGAAACAGAGGAGCAAACGTCCCCCATCCCTGCCGTCGACATCAAGAAAGAACCCGAGCCAGACGCAGAGGAAACCCCTAACTACTGCAAATCCTGCGATATATCATTCAAATACGGTAACACTTACAAAGCTCACAAGCAGTTTTACTGCACGGCCAATAACCAAGATGCAGCGGCTAATAACAATGTGCCCGCGCCTCCAGCTGTCAGAGTGACAGATACTCCTGTGCTATGAGTTGTGTGTGCTAGCTGCAATTCCGCATTTCATGATAAGTTTCAGTTGGTTAATGTTTCAAAAATTCAACGTGTTTTCTTTTCCGAAATTCAAAATCATTTACTCAATCTAGGCCGTTACACGGGGTATATACCGTAATATATACCAGTATACTGGCCAGTGCTAATGACGTCATGAATCGACGCTTTACTGGTGAATCGTTCCGAAATATACTGGCCAGTGCACTGACGTCATAAATCGACGAAATATTAAAAATAGTGCGAATAAAGAAGATTTTTCATTCACCTCATCAATTAAAAGGAATTCTTTTTGTTAGGATGCCATTATTGTTCTTTAAATGTAAAAGAAATAAAATTCGAATGCATCTCACGTACGCTCGGTCATACGTCATATTCGTTTTCCCGGTAAAAATATGGTAGCATACCAGTACAATATAGCATCAGTTTCGTGACGTCATTACCACTGTCCAGTATACTGATGTATATTTCGGAATACACCCAAGCTCTTGTGAACGTCAATCTATGCCATTGGTTCGTAAATTTCCATTTATATTAACGTGTCAGGACAGGTGTTAAGCTTTACCATAATTAATTATGTGTGATTATATTTTAAACTAGAGTCCAGTCAAGGTCATTCCGACGCTTTTAAACCATATTTGAAGCACAAGAATAAATGTTAAACATTTTTAATATTTCTGCTTGTTTGAAGAGGTAACACCTTTGAAAGATGTTACAATCTTTTTAAGGTGTTACCCCAATATCTATAATTTATGGCAAGGCAGAATACATTCGGAACATACGCTAAAATTACGACGATTGGGACCTGCCAGCCTATTAGCTAACTTTTTCGACATTTACAGCGGGTAAGTAAAGAGAAAATTTCATATCCATCGATGCTTTTTTAAACAAGTAGCTTAGCACTGAAGTTATATTAAAGCAGTAGTGGATCACTAAGCAAGCAGTAAGCGAAAAGGTCTCCTATTTAGTTAAAACTTGGTAACAAATCGGCTTAGAGGATTATAAAATCATTAATGTTTTCAAAATGTCTATATGAGACTTATGATTTGCGGAATTTCATCTTTTTGGATACATAGGTACTTATAGGGATCGATTGAATAAATGAATAAAGTCGATTTCAATGAGACGATTCAATGTGTTGTCCAATGAACATCCCTATAGCAGTGGGCCAATCGCCTAACCAGATTGCTTTGGAAAACGCTATCGCTTACGATTTCATTTTGTTATTTCTAACCGCCGAAGGTTTTCAAATACCTCACGCTCATTTTCTTTAACATTGTTATTACCAATGCAAAAGAAAAAAAAAGAGCGCGAGGCATTTGAAAACCTCAGGCGGCTAGAAATAACAAAATGAAATCGTAAGCGATAGCGTTTTCCAAAGCAATCCAGTTAGGCGATTGGCCCCCAGGGTTGTTAAATAACTGTCAGCCCTCCCTAGCATGAGCACCGCGATATGATACATAACGCGTTTTTATCACGCTCAATTGTCAAATTACATAAGGAGTTTGACAGTTAGACGCGATAAAAAACTTTTTTTTTTTTTAATTTAAATTGTGGTGCTCATTATACGGGGACAGGTGTTCTATAAATAAATGAATGCATTTATTGCAATTTCAATAATATGCGTCGTGAAATCTCATCCTCTCTTGGTACTATCGCTGGCAAATAGTTTAATGAGCTTCCGTTTGCTTCAAGAAGAGTCACTTGTTAATTATACGATATTAGGATAGTTTACGAAAATTAGGTATCTTCCCTTTTTGGATTTAATAAATTCAATTTGTGTGCAATATTGAATGGATATAATTGGATACTTGTGCGCATATCAAAGCCAAAATTACGGTGTGATGAGTCTGTGAATGATTATAATAATGTATAAACATCGGCGAGTACAGGCGAGCCCACAAATATTAATAAATCATTTTCGTTGCTCTTGTTATGTAAATTTTTAATAGTTAGAAAAGTTAACTTTCTTCGTATTTGTATTAGTCTAGGTACGTTAAAAATTACCAAATTGTAAATATTTGTAAAGATATTATTACATTGTAACTAAATTTTATTACCATTTGTTCTAAGTATAATTGTTCTTTCTTTGTTGTTAATTTTGTTTAATATTAATTATTGCTCTTAGATGAAATTATTGTATATATCCCAATAAGAAGCGTTTAATGCTCATTCCAGAAACTGTTGTGACCTACCAGTGGTTCTCAATAATCTGTAGCTATCGTATTGTAAAAGTATCACCGTATTTGTTTTAACATTTTTTCACATTCCGGCGTTATAGAATAATTATATTTGATTTTCATTTGTTTGAAATACAAAGTGTATTACCACTGAACTACGCGTTATCGCGTTGATGTCGTTACTGTGTATAAATAAATCTGTTCAAATAACATTTATTTATAGACAGAAATTCACAAAAAAGAGTCATTAGGTTCAACATGATAACGCATAGTTCATAGTGGTGGTATTAAATGCTCTTAAATGTATGCTCTCAAAATTTTATCCTTTGTTTATATAAAAAAAACATAAAATCATATCTGCTCTTGAGTTAGTGTGCAGAATTAAATTAATAGAATACTTATAACCATCGCATATCATGCATGCGAAAATAAAATTCAAAAATATCCAGCTAAAGATATAAGCGAAGTACCATGTTTTGTCCATGCCAAAGCATTGCTAGATTAATCGTAATTTGCATTTATAAGTATCTCACTAATTATAGTTAATAGGATTAAGTGAATACAAGACTTATTTCGTAGAAATGCCTACGTGTAATAAATTTTCTGTATTCATTTGTGTTTGTCCAGAAAACTTTGGAATGAGTCTCGAATTCGTTGCTGTACGATATTTGATGCTAGACAGAGTTTTTGATCTTCCATTATAGGGTGACATAATTTCATGTGTGTGTGCAGTAAATCAGTTTTTTCGATTATTCAAAAATATAATTATGAACTTTCTAAGATGTTTACCATTGACTGCACATTATAGACGTAAGCTCTCATGACATTTATGTTAAATAATATACTACGATTCTTGTTTCTAATGCAACAGAAATTAAAATTAGCACGGTTTTTGATCTTTAAGTATCATAATATCGGGAATTTGTTTGACAATAATCGCTTTGTGAGGTTTAATATCGTATACTCGTATTTTGAAAAACATAAGTTTTAAGTACAGGTACAGTCAGCGACAACCTCTTTTCTTATCATACCACATATACTATCAGAAATCAGAATCTATGGCGACTATGCCCAATAACAAATACCCCTCTCACAGCCTACAACTCAGCAACAGGGTAAATACGCCCCTGAGTTTGCTAAGAAAAAGATTCGGTAGGGGATGGCCCTTGTCGGAATATATGAAAAATTTTACTTTTTGGTAGTACCTTTAATTTTTGTTTGATAGTCGCGGGCCGATTGTTGCTGAACAAACTGTTCGAGGGCCGGCGATGGCCCGCGGGCCGTAGTTTGCCCATACCTGCCTTAGATTATCCCTTTCTATATGTGTTACAACAAATTACCTCACCCCATCCCCACGTGATATGAAGTGTAAGTGGACTACAGTCGCGAAGATGCGGGTGTGCAGCTCCAGCCATCCTCATCATGTCGGCCTAATCCCAATCCCCTTTCAGCCGGGTTTTCTTCTATCTATCTTGTCTATCGAGCTTCATTAATTTTTCTTTATAATTAAGTAGGTATATCAAAAACTACAACAAAAAATCCTTGCATCATGTCACTTTCAAAATTTAATGTGGATATTTTAAATTTGACGCTGACTGTACTGAGAAGTTTTAATTTTCTAGACACAATAATCAAGCAAACCTAAATGCGTTTGAAAAAAGGAGTATGTGTGTTATTAACTGGTACTAATCCTAATTCCTATTGTTGTTTTAATTCACATAGTCTCCATTATAGAATGCAGCATCTGATGCATGTGCCATAAGTCTCTTGTTATCAAAACATCGTCTCGAATAAAGCTGCAAATAAGGCGGTATTTTTGGAAGAGTTGATGATGTGAAGAATTAACTCGATATCACTTGCCACGTCTTCCTGGTAATGTCTATCATTTACAAACGTATTGTCTGTGTTTAAAATACATTATCGCACATCAACTCTTCCAGGATTTTTAAGTATGCAGGGCCAGATTTATATAATGTAATGATATGGTAGATGTATGTAAAAAAGCTTAGACGTTTTTGTGTAAAACTAAAGTTTTCCGAAGTAAATTAAAAAAAAACAATCATTGTACTATAATTAATTTAATGAGGTAATTTATCATTTAATTAATGAATTCAAAGTTTTCCTCAGGTCTTTTGGATTATTGTAGAGTTAAGAACATTTAAAAAATCAGGATTTTGTGGAAAATATTTGATATTAACCCGAATTTCATTCAAAATAGCTTCTTAGAGTTACACTTAATTAATATATCGCCCACTGTACTTAACAAAAACGTTTAAGACAACATAGTCGTTTTGGCTTATATAATATGTATGTTATAATATAAATCAGTTGAATGTATGTAATCCTAGCATGTTAATAAAGTGATAATATGTGTAAAAGTTAAATCATTAAATTGAGGTAAGCCTACGATGATATTGTAAAAATATGCCAGACAATAAATTATTTATCACATATTATGCTGTATGTTTTTTTTTATTTTTACCTATCTATAATATTTCTTTATTTTTCCTATAGTTGAGGAACTAAAAAAACTAGGTAACTATAAAAAATAAAATACACCCCTTTCACTTCGTAACCGCCGTGGGCGAGTGGTATATACGTGGTTTCATGGCGTCGCTACTCAGAGATCCCGGGTTCGAATCCCGGTGGGTACAAATGTTAGCATGACGATTACATGCATTTTTACCTTAGTCATGGATGTTTATTTCCAGATAAAATATACTTATATATATGTGAATACTAAGGTAATGATAGAATTATCTGTTGCCCTAACACAAGCCTTATTACTGTGGTAAATATTTTTAGAATTACTTTTATAAGGATATACTGATATAAGGATGAATGAGGACTTAATAATATAAAATCAAATTCAATAATAACTTCAAACAATATATTCGTGTAACAAAATCAGCTAGATTCTCTTATAATACAAAATCAGAGTTAATCTTAGGACTAAATTCAATCTGGAGTGTATTCATCAGAGGAAACATCTCCATATTGGTCTTTAAATTGCTCTGTATCTTCATCTTGCCCATAGTAAAATCCTTCATCATCATCTTTATAACCATCAATGGATTCCTCATCCAAGTCTTTTACCCTGGAGCATTGTATTAAACTCTTTGAATTTAATTCAGGGCTTTCATTTAACACTCTTGCTTTATAAGCTGCATATGCAGCTCCATATCTTTTGACATCTTCACTAGATATATCTTGAGGATCATCATATATTCTGTCTTCACCTGTATCACTTGACAGGTTATCTTCTACAACATAAAAAATTATAGCTATAACTGCAGTCTGCGTCTATCTTTAAAAACACCAATTACACAAAACTAGAGAATGCAATACCGAAATAATGGGATCACGCACCCATTTTACAGGACTAATATCGGTCTAAAAATTTGCGGTATAGAAAAGCTTACTACTTGCTATTACTCTATGCGCAGCATGAACAAAAAATTGGTGTCCCTTTTCATAGAATTGTTGAAAAAAAACTTATTTTGCAATTTTAGAGTATTTGTAAAATATTATGTCATCATCACTAGTCCATTAATGTCCCCACTGCTGGGGCAACAGGCCTTCCTTGTGAATGGAATAGGGAGATCAGGCCATGATCCTGGAGGATCGTAGCATGATGAGCCCAGTGCGAATTGGTAGGTGCTAACAACTGCAGATGCAGTCAGGACCAATAGCTTAAAGTGCTTTCCAAAGTACGGAGTGAGGAGCTTGATAATAAATTTTTGGTCACATTGATGTATAAATAAATATAAGAAGAGTATAGGCAAATGGTTACTAAATATATTGATTACATACCAATGTCACAATTCTCCATTGCCCGAATCATGTCCTCTTCATTTAAACTACTATTGTCTGTGTCTGGATATTCATTCCTCCAGTTGTTCTCATCATTAGAGTCGTCCTCATCGTCTGCTTCATCATCTGATGGGTTCTTGCCATTATCTCGATGGGAACCAAATATCAAACTTGTTTCATAGTTCTCAATGCTAAAAAACAAATATAAGTTTTTATATTTTTTTTGTTTTTAATAATAAAAAATGTAAGTGTTTCACTAATCTAATGATTGTCCCACACCTGCATGACAAAGCTTTGGTTTGTTTGGTAAATAAATGCACTAAAATTTGCAAAAAATATTATGAAACATTATCATAATGAAACATAAAACAGACCTGACAAGATTATCCAACATGGATACATCAAACTCCTCCTGCTTGGCAGCAACATATAAATCATATGCATACTGTACATCTTGCTGCTCATCACTTGACTTTTGCAAATCTACTAGATCGTAAACATTTTCATTACTATCATCATCATTACTGTCTTTCAAACCTCTACTGCAATTGACAACTTCATAACGGTTTTCCTGTGCAGCCTGTTTCCTTTCTTTCCTTATCTTCTGAATTATGTCATTAACATTATGTTTGGTTTTCACTTGCGATTCAGTTTTAGGAACTAAGTTTTTTACAGAATTTGTCTCCTAAGAACAAAGATTGTTGTATTAGGCATGTATGATCATTTATCTGCTAAACCTTGTTAAATACTATTCTTTCCAACAAACATTAACCAAAAATAGGTAAATAATCAAGTTTTACTTTGGCGGGAAAGGTAATCCAGCTTGACTAAATTTAACAAACTTATAACAATTAAGTTAAACATAAAAGCCATACCTGATTATTAACGGTTCCTTGAAACACGAAAAGGGATGGTGAAATCTCCACTGTATCAGTTTTCAACCGTTTACACAAAATTACTAACGCGTCTTGTGGGTTATCTTCTATTTTACGTTTCACACGTATTATTGTTTGTGTAGCCATAATAATATCTATATTTCAGCACGTATTTATTTTATTAGTTCATTAAAAAACAGCGTTAGTTACAGAAGATAAAAAAAACTACAAAAAAAGTAAAAACAACTTAAATATTTGTGATTTGTTTTTTTTTATAAGTTTGGCCTTGGATGAAATCCATACAGCCAAACAATGTTTTGTGATTTGACATTGACAATGACATGACAATAACAGCCGGCAACGGAGTTGCGTTCCATCCTATAATCCCAATGTAATGAAGAAGTAGACTCTTCTTCTTTTATCATTGTATAATCCGGGTGCAACGCATGAACCCGGAACGTCTATCCGTCTTGCATGCTAGTTTGTGCGGAAAGAGCGTGGCGAAAAACGGAACTAACATTAAGATATTTGTTTCTTAGGTTTTCACGCACATCACTCATTAAATAAAACTAGTTTTTACGGGTTAATGCACGAAACTTTATTTATTTATTGACGTTTAAAATTTTATTCTGACGACGTAGCCTGTAAAGGCTACGAAACGTCAATAAATAAATAAAGTTTCGTGCATTAACCCGTAAAAACTAGTTTTATTTAACGTTAAGATTTTTATTTGGCAATCAAACCCAGCAATCTGTAAAACGTCAAAGTTTTGTATTGATACGGATTTGTTTGTTGTTGTGATTTCTTGCGGTTTTTGAAGTTATACTTCTTTAGGCGCGTTATGAAAAAATGATGAGAGTGAAATTTTAAGATGCGCGCGCATCACTGTAACACAAAATTTTAACAGCATGAATTCATGCTTCATGCGTTACTTTTGTGTTTACCGCATATTAAGAAAATGTACCCACAAAATAGAAATAGAATCTCTATTTAGTGGGTGCTAACGACTGCATTGTGAAGGCCTATCAAAAGTATTTATTAATCTGGAACAACGGAACCAAAGCGCGATTCAGGAGACTACAGCGCCATCTCTTGACCATTGGTGTAGTAGAACCAAAAACCACATCTTTATTTTTTGTAATAAACTAACAGTTATAGGTATTCATATTTATAATATCAAAAGTATTTATTAATCTGGAACAACGGAACCAAAGCGCGATTCAGGAGACTACAGCGCCATCTCTTGATCATTGGTGTAGTAGAACCAAAAACCACATCTTTATTTTTTGTAATAAAGTAACAGTTATAGGTATTCATATTTATAATATTTATCCACATGTTTCTAGTTTGTATATTCGGAATACGTGTTTGAGTTTCATACAAGTGCAAATCACATAATGTTCTAATAAATTATATTCAGTAGCGATTTTAATTGAATATTTTGATTATTTATTTATTTTTTCAAATTAAAACTGAACTTTATTGACTGTGTCCTTTTCCAGACTTTTTATTAATTTATTGTAATTAATTATTTGCATGCAATTAAAAACTAATTTTAAACGATGCCAAAGAAGGATAACTTCTCACGCGCCTACATAAGTACACGCACCCATTTTTTTTGTATTTAATCATGTCTAAAAGGGGTAAAACTTAACAAATACGGTAGAAAAGCACTACTTACAGTGCCCTCCAATCTAAATCCCATTCTCTTTCCGCACAGACTCTAGCGTGCACTAGACCAAAAGACCAAATTTAAGGTAGTAAAGTGTAGGTAATGCTATTATTTATGATCTCGATACGGCTTGAAGTTGAATGTTTCAACTACAGCAACGCTTCGCACAATCGAGCACTCTCAAAAGTAATGTTTTCCTGTGATGCGATACCAACTCAATGGTGTCAATTCTGACACGATTCTCTAAACCTAAACTTAAATTTGACAACAGTGTATCCTTGTCATTCTCTATACGGAATGAAAAGGAGAGATAAGAAGTGTTTTTTCTTCAAGTGGGCATTGATCGAAATGTTTTATTTATATAATAACGTTAGTAATATTATTTATTGTTGAAAATTTTTTATAACTTTAGTTTCATTGTAGTTTTTTTTAAATAATCAAAGTTAATTTAGACTGTGTTAAAAAATAAATATAAGTATGGATGATGGTACAAACATTGACTTTTATTTTTATATTCCACACTTAAAATGTGAATACAATTTTTTACAATATAATTCTTTTAGAACTCATTTAAAAAAATACTCAAAACAAAAAAATGTTAATGAAATAATCAAAACCCAAATTACTTAAAATAACCGTAAATAATTTTCAACCAAATATTATGGATACCACTTTATTTACACATTAATGAGGTTATTGCTAACTCTATGAATATTTTTTTTTCAACACTGATCTTAGCGCACTCTGCTGGTGCATTTAAAGATTTCATCGAGTGTGTTGGGCTTCATATTTTAATTATTCTTTAATTCCTTTATAGTGGATATTGTGAAATAAAAATGGTGTGATTAGTGTTTCAACCGTCTGTGCAACTGACGAATTAATGGAATCTTTAGAATAAAAGCTATTCCGGTTAAGTGGACGTGAGAACTTAATTATAGTATTGACCACCACACAGAAGCTTATTTAGAAAGCTGTCTTGATACAGTTTGTGCCAAACACTCCAAAGAAACATTCTAATAAAATCCACATTCTAATGTAAAAAAAAGGATAATACAAAAATAACACGATGGCTGCATAACTTTGCCTTTGCTTTTACCAATAGGGAAAAAGAACTAAAAAGGAGTTTTTGGCGGGATTTCATCGAGTGTGGTTGGCGTCTTATTTTAATTATTCTTAAATTCGTTCATAGTGGATATTGTGAAATAAAATTGGTGTGATTTTGCGTTACAACTGTCTGCGTAACTGAAGAATTAGTAGAATCGTCAAAATATACGCTATTCCGGTCAAGTGGACGTGAGAATTTTATTGTAGTATTGACTACCTCACAGAAGCTTATCGAAAAAGCCAGCTCGATATATTCGTGCCAAACACTTCAAGAAACTGTTTTTCTTTTTACATTAGAATGTCGGTGTGACGCATTCTAATGTAAAAAGAAAAACAGAATAATTTAACTTAAGACTAGGCTGTATGGGCACTGTTCCCCTTGCCTTCCCTGAAAAGGGAGAACTTAACCAAAAAAAAAAAGAACTAAAAAATATTTAAAGTAACTAAAAAGTATACACTTGACATTGGCTAAATGCACAAGCCGTACAAGCCAAACGAAGCCATTTAGAAAAAAAAAATCTGTGCTAGTCTGTGTTCACTTTCCTGAAACCATCGAAGAACGCAACTAAATATTTTTTCTCAATAATAAAATAAGAACACTTCTAACAATGGATAATTTGAAACAGTTCAACACCATGGCATCTGACGAGAATTGGCGTACTCCAAATTTCCGACAAAATGTGGTCACAAAGATGTAAGTATTACTAGCCAAATATTGCAGTAATTTCGTCAAAAGTAAATGGATGTGAATACATGTAACAAAAATATAAAATACTTATTTTAATAATGCTACGAAATAGAAATTATGCTGATAAAACAGTATCTAGGTAGGACTTGTGGATCTTGCTGCTCTAAGAACTAATGGAAAACAGAAAATGCATCTAATGCAACTTTTGCATGCAAATTGGATATAATGATGAACATATATTCAGTAACTGTTCTAGGCAGGTCAACTTGTCACTATAATTTCTAATCAACATCAGTCGACTTGTGGCAAATGTGGCACAGTTGAGATGTGATTAATGGAGTGCCGACTGTACCAAAATTTTTTTTTGTCTTATGCTGTTATACCCATCATATCCTGGGACTTTGCTAGGAATATATTAATCATTTCCCATAATAGTCAATCCATTTTCTTTTACTGTTTTAATATATTTTTTTTGTTTATTTCAGAGAGGAAGTCATACAGAGATCTGGTATGCAAGTGGCTAGAAACAGTAGTGAAATGGAGAACCATGTTTTTTCAAAGGCAAAGACTCGTGAGGAATACATGAACATGGTTGCTAAACTAATACTGCATGTGAGGGAGATGTGTAAGTGTTTTTATGTAGGTAATAAAATCTCAATAAATTACTGAATAATAAGTTCCCTTTCAATTATTACTATTATCGTTGCAGCCCAACCAAAACAAAATCCAGGGGCACCTAATATGCAAGGTCCGAATCAGAACCAGCCTGGCCCTAACCCTCAAGTTCAAGCCCAGCAAGGTCAGACCCCGCAGGCCCCTAATGCTCAAGGAGGCATGAATCCTGACCCTATAAATGCACTGCAAAACTTAGCATCTCAAGGATCCAGGAACCAGATGATGAATATGGGTTCCCAAGGGCAGATGCAACAACAGGGGGTGCTCGGGCCCAACCCTGGCATGGGAGGCATGCAGCAGCAGATGGGACAACAAGGACCCATCGTCTCACAAGGTGGTCCTCAGGCCCAGACAGCTACTAATTTGCTACAAACTTTGACTCAGCGGCCACAGATGAATATGCAGCAGTTACAGAACAAGCTGGGTGGTGGTATGGGAATGGTTCCAAATCAGGGGCAGATGGGGAACAACATGGGGATGGGAGGTATGGGAAATCCAATGGGAAGTCAACTGCAAAGTCAGTTAGCTGGACCGGGCATGCAGGGCCAGATAATGCCCAATATGTCTATGCAGAATAACATGTCCGTGCCAATGAGTGCTGCTAACTCCATGGGAGGTCAGATGGGTGGGCCATGCAACCAGGTGGGAGGCATGGGGGGGCAGATGACCCCAAATTCTATGCAGGGACAAATGCCAGGGCAAATGGGTAAGTGATTCTAGAATAGTATACATCCTGGCAAACTTCTTACACATCAATCATAGCCAAAGAATTCTGAGAGTAGCAATTTTACATTTAAAAACGTCAACTGCACAAGTTTATTTCAGTAGTTTTGCTTAAAAAGTTTGCCTCTACTTACGTCTATTATGTTTTATTCATGCAATATTATGATTATCAAATTAGCATTTACATTTTCAAACCATTTACTCTAAGTGCTTTAGCTTCCCAAACATTATGTCATGAAGATTTCCTGTGTTTAAACATATTTACATTAAAGCCAGTCCCCGAAGCATGATCAACACAATAGGAATTATATTATGTTCTTTGTCGCATCTAACTGTCAAACCTCGATAGTAATTTGACAAGTGAGTGTGATAAAAACTGTAATGTATGTATCTATATAGTGGGTAGTTACAAATACTGTACATATTTTATAAAGAAGGTAGACGTGCTCTCTGCAAAATAAACTCAAGTATAGAACGGACGTGTTTCATTGTACTCCTCTAAATCCAGCTATAAAAGTCTTAAAAGTTAGCTCTTACCTAAATACTTATCAGTGGCGACGAGTGAACTCCGCGAGTGCTAAAAGAGTGTAAAAAAGTCTTGTCAAAATTTTTTTGAATTACCAAAATGTCGCTCGGCAAAATCGGACAGTTTGACGTTGATAAGGACAGCTGGGAAAATTACGTTGATCGTTTGGAACAATATTTTATTGCAAATAGTGTAGTTGCGGAGTTAAAAGTAGCTACGTTAATCACGGTTGTCGGCAATGAAGCTTACGAACTTATGGTGAGCTTGTGTACTCCGTCAAAACCGGCTACCAAGTCTTACACGGAACTAGTGGAAATTATGAAACATCATTTAAACCCGAAACCTAGTGTGTTAGCAGAACGATTTAAATTCAGGCAACGGATACAAAGGTCTGGCGAAAGTATAGCTAGTTACGTGAAAGAACTAAAGAGACTCAGCATTGACTGTGGTTTTACGTCAGATAGCTTAAAGGAGAATTTAAGAGACCAATTCGTGTGTGGCATTGTAAATGACATCATAAGACAAAAGCTATTTACGGAGGAGGACACAATTTCATTCGATAAGGCATATAAACTTGCAGTATCTATGGAAGCAGCCGAGACGAATGCAGCGCTCGTTGAAGACTATTCCAGGAGTAAGAATGGTGACATTATACCGAGTTCGGTAACTGCATCGGTGCACCGCTTAGGGTATAGCGGCACAGGCGGCACGAGTGGCGGCTCGCGGCAGAGTGGCGCGGGCGCATTGCGGCCCGGCGGCGGCGGGCGCAACGTTCGAGCTCGGCCAGCCGGCGCAGGTGGTGGTCCAAGTGTCACGAGCGGAGCGAGTGGCAGGAATTCGCGGCAATCGAACAGAAATTTCAATAGAGGCGATAACGGAGGAGTGGAATGTAAAGTATGCGGCCGGAGTCATAGCAGTAATGAGTGCAAATTTGATATGTATGTGTATCGGGTTTGCAATAAACAGGGCCACTTGAAAAGAATGTGCCCTAATTTACGTGCAACGTCTGTGAATAATGTACAAGATTCAAAGATTGCGTATATGGACGAGGAAGATAGCAGTAGTGGCGAGGTAATAAATAATTTTTCATTGTCAACTGATTTTATTAAAAATTTTGCACCATACACAATAAATGTTTGTATCGAGAATATCGCAATAAATATGGAGATAGACACTGGCAGTGCTATTTCATGCATTAGTCACGAATTATATCAAACATTGTTCACTCATTGTCAGTTAACGAATAGTAATTTAATATTACGTTACTATACCGGTGAAACTGTAAAACCAATAGGAAAATTCGATCCATTAGTCAAATATAAAAATATATTATGTAAGAAGTTAACATTGTATGTAGTAAATAATGCAAAAGCTAATTTATTGGGTAGAATGTGGTTGTCAGAGCTCAATATTAACTTTCCTATAAGTACATGTCACAAAGTTAGTTGTGTAAACAGTTCATTCAAATTAGAGGAATTTAGTTCCAGATATTATGAAGTGTTTTCGGACGGCCTGGGACGATTCAATGGAGGGAAAGTGGGGTTTCACTTGCGTCCTGAGGCGCGACCGGTGTTCCTCCGCGCCCGGCCCCTGGCGTACGCACTGCGGGAGCCGGTGGAGCGCGCGCTCGACCAGATGGTGCGGGATGGAATCATCACGCCGGTAACCACTTCAGAATGGGCGACACCAATTGTACCGGTAATGAAAAAAGACGGCAGTATTCGCGTTTGCGCAGATTTCAAAATAACTTTAAACAAATGTATAGAAGTTGACCATTATCCTCTACCTAAGGTGGAGGACTTGCTAGCAAAGTTACATGGCGGTGAAAAATTCACAAAAATCGATTTATCACAGGCGTACGCTCAATTTGAGCTAGATGACTCAAAGAGGTTCACTGTAATAAACACACATAAAGGTCTTTTTATGTTTAATAGGCTTATTTATGGCTTAGCGTCGAGCCCAGGGATATTTCAAAGGAAACTTGAACAAATTTTTGCCGATATAAGTAATAATAAGTCGCATCTTGAAACCTTGCATGAAGTTTTTAGTAGACTGCAAAAGTATGGTCTTAAAATAAATAAAGAAAAGTGTAAATGTTTTGCCGATTCTGTCACTTATTTAGGATTTGTGATCACTAAACAAGGAGTGCATACTAGTCCCGAAAAAGTAGCCGCAGTTGAAAAAGTAGCCATACCGAAAAATATAACAGAATTACGTTCATTTTTAGGGTTAGTTATGTACTATGCCAAATTTATACCTAACATTAGCACGTTATTGGCTCCGTTGTATGCTTTATTAAAAAAAAATAATACAAAGTATGACTGGAATGAGAAATGTACACAGGCATTTGAACAAGTTAAGAAAATGTTAGGGTCTAGTCAGGTCTTGGCGCATTACTCTCCGGATTTACCAATTATCCTTACAACTGATGCGTCCGCGGTAGGGATAGGGGCGGTTATTTCTCACATAATGCCGGAAGGGGGGGAAAGGCCAATAGCATACGCTTCACGTGTCTTGAATTCTGCTGAAAAAAGCTACTCGCAGATTGAAAGGGAGGCATTAGCAATTATATACGGCGTAAAAAAATTTCATCAGTATTTGTACGGTAGAAAATTTATTTTGAGAACCGATCATAAGCCCTTAGTTACCATTTTTGGTGACAAAACAGGCATTCCGGTTATGGCAGCTAGTAGAATGCAACGCTGGGCAGTTATATTAGCGGGTTATGATTATAGTATCGAGTATATACGTAGTGATAAAAATTCAGCCGACGCACTATCCCGTCTCCCGAGGGGAAGAGTAAAACGTCTGAAGACAGAATTTACTTACATGAATTTTATTCAGAATTTTTTACCGATAACGAGGAAATCAGTTCAAATTGAATCACACAAAGACGAGTTATTAAAAAAAGTTTATTTATACATACAAACAGGATGGCCGAACAAATGTAATGATAAATTTCTTAAACCATATTTTGATCGAAGAAATGAGTTGTATTTAGACATGGATTGTATTGTATGGGGTTACCGATTAGTTATACCTAATAGTTTACAAATAAAGTTACTAAAAGAACTTCATGCGGGACATTTAGGTATAGTAAAAATGAAAAGTTTAGCCCGCAGCATTATTTGGTGGCCCGGCATAGATAATGATATAGAGAGCATCGCCAGGCAGTGTGCTGCCTGTACACTGGAAAGTTCTGCACCGCCACGAGCAGCACCACAACCCTGGCCATACATCAGTGAGCCATGGTCGCGGTTACATGTTGACTTTTTAGGTCCGATACAAGGGAAAACATTTTTCATTTTATTAGATTCGACTACAAAATGGTTAGAGGTTTTTTTAATGCAAAGAACCACCGCGGGGTCTATCATTAAGGTGCTACGAGAAACTTTCGCTCGGTTCGGATTACCAAAAGAAATTGTATCGGACAATGGACCGCCATTCAGTAGTAAGGAATATTCCGAATTCATGTTGAATAACGGTATAAAGGTAACTTTTTCTCCCGCATACCATCCATCATCGAATGGAGCAGCAGAGGGGGCGGTTAAGCTATGCAAACGAACAATAAAAAAATCGTTACGCGAAGGGAGTGACTTAGATACAGCTTTACAAACTTACTTGATGATGTACAGAAATGTGGTACATAGTACCACAGGTTCATCTCCAGCGATTTTACTACAACGTAGAAATTTAAGAAATAGGCTAGATTTATTGAAAGGCAATAGGCAATTAGAAAGTACAGTACAAGAGGCACAACAAAAACAGGTAATCAATGCTGGAGGTAGTACAAGAAAATTTGATATCGGGGATACCGTATGGGCTCGTGATTTCACGGGAAGGAAGTGGTTAGGAGGCAAAGTGGAAGAAAAGTTAGGGTCGCGTAACTATATCATCGGTAGGGATAATGGTCCACCTATTAAAAGACATATTGATCAAATTAGACGAAAACGTAGCAGTTATAGTCTGCCGTCTTTTGAAACAGAAGTAGCATTACCGGAAGCCGGGGATGATTCTATACCGAATCAAGTAGTTGAAGAAACTACAGACAAAAATGACTCGTTTAATAAGGAGGAATCGGGTGCGGACGAACGCCAAGCGACTCCGGAGCCTTCAGCATCTCAAGATGCTGAGGATTCCGGAGTTCGACAAACACCAATGGAACGAGTCAAAGAAACCCCCAAAAGAAATAGGAAGCCTGTAAGGCGATATGGTTTAGATTTAGAATTAGAGTAAGTACAAAAGTGTAATTTGAATTATTTTCTAGGTGAAGGGTTATTTTTGTACATTAGGTAAAAATTAGCTGTACTCTTAGTTAAGTGCGGAGGTGTAATGTATGTATCTATATAGTGGGTAGTTACAAATACTGTACATATTTTATAAAGAAGGTAGACGTGCTCTCTGCAAAATAAACTCAAGTATAGAACGGACGTGTTTCATTGTACTCCTCTAAATCCAGCTATAAAAGTCTTAAAAGTTAGCTCTTACCTAAATACTTATCAAAAACAAGCTAATATATCATTTTGCAGTGCTCATGCTGTGGCAGATATATAAAAAAAAATGGATGCATGTAACTTATGTACGCGCGTGAGAAGTTATACTTCTTTAGCATCTTTAAAAATATTTTTTAATTGCATGCAATTAATTAATAATTACAATAAAATAATAAAAGGACTGGAAAAGGATAGTTAACACAGTCAATTAAGTTCAGATTTAATTTGAAAAATTAAATAAATATTCAAAATATTCAATTAAAATCACTACTGAATTTAAGTTATTAGTCCATATGTAATTAGCACTTGTAAGTAACTAAAACACGTTGTGTCTATATAGAAACTAGAAACATGTGGATAAATATTATAAATATGAAAACAGTGATCAGAGGCGACGGGCGTGCCAACATTGTTTTTGACAATGCGATCATCTTATGGAGCTCCGTGGATCGTTCAAAGTACCTTTCGAACAGATGTCTAATAATGGTGGATTATTAACCACTTAGTGGTTAACTAACATTCATAACGTGCCTGCGGCCAACTTCATGGTGTTACTATTGTGTTACAGTGATGCACGCGCATCTCGAAATTTCACTCTCATCATTTTTTCATAACGCGCCCGCGGCTAACTTCATTATGTTACTTTTGTGTTACAGTGATGCGCGCGCATCTTAAAATTTCACTCTCATAATTTTTTCATAACGCGGCTAAAGAAGTATAACTTCAATATTTGAAAATTGAAATGTTGAGAACTAAATTATTGACTATATAATAAGCAAAATACTATTTATAACAGAACACAACAGAATTATCAGAACATTTCGCAATCAATATTATAATGAGAATATTTTAAGAACCTATGGTCAAAATTTACTAATTAATCTTGTGAACTCAAAGGCTGTAATGGATCTGAAATATAAAGCACGGTAATATTATCTATGGGGCCATCCATAAATTACGTCACACTTTAAGGGGTAGGGAGGGGTCGACGAAATGTGACATCGTGTGACAAGGGGTGGGAGGGGTCCTAAATTTCGTGACGTCACATTTCAAAATATATTAAAATCTAAAGTGTTGAAACTATTACTTTACGAAAGCATTAACAACCCAAACGAGAACAAAGTGGTGCTATGCCAGTTATAAAAAAATGGGTGCGTGTACTTATGTAGGCGCGTGAGAAGTTATTCTTCTTTGGCATCGTTTAAAATTAGTTTTTAATTGCATGCAAATAATTAATTACAATAAATTAATAAAAAGTCTGGAAAAGGACACAGTCAATAAAGTTCAGTTTTAATTTGAAAAAATAAATAAATAATCAAAATATTCAATTAAAATCGCTACTGAATATAATTTATTAGAACACATGTGATTTGCACTTGTATGAAACTCAAACACGTATTCCGAATATACAAACTAGAAACATGTGGATAAATATTATAAATATGAATACCTATTTATAACTGTTACTTTATTACAAAAAATAAAGATGTGGTTTTTGGTTCTATTACACCAATGGTCAAGAGATGGCGCTGTAGTCTCCTGAATCGCGCTTTGGTTCCGTTGTTCCAGATTAATAAATACTTTTGATAGGCCTTCACAATGCAGTCGTTAGCACCCACTAAATAGAGATTCTATTTCTATTTTGTTGGTAGATTTTCTTAAGGTGCGGTAAACACAAAAGCAACAACATGAAGTTGGTCGCTTTAGCGACTTTGTGTTAGGCATTGTCCTAATACAACGCGATAACGCGAATGAGCGATGCGATCATCGTACGAGTCGACGATCAAACATATTGATCTAGAATAGGCGAACGCGCGATGCATTCGCGCGACTAAAATGTTTAAAAATCTATTCGTGGGAACTTAGTTCGCGCGAACGCGCAATCAAACATATTAATGATGAATAGATGTCCTAACTGAAGTTCGCGCGATGATCGCGTCGCGTCGATAGGAAGCGGGGAGAGGGGCACTGCTAACCCGACCAAACTGTGTCAATCGTGATCGCGTATTCGCGTTCTATTAGGACACCCAGTTCGCGATCACGCGATGGTCGCATCGTTCAAACGCGCGATGATCGCGTTATCGCGTTGTATTAGGACAATGCCTTACAGTGATGCAAAATATCACTCTCATCATTTTTTCATAACGCGCCTAAAGAAGTATAACTTCAATAATTTAAAGGAGTGGGATCAATGTCCATGGACTCAAGATTATTAAGTTTGTATCTTTAATTTATTTATAATGCTATTAATATTTTATGTTTTGTTAATTTCTTTAATTAACATAGTCAATCACTTTTTGTTCGGTAATTTCTTTAATAAATATAATTAATCGTTTTTTTTTTGTTTTGTTAATTGTTTGATTTGATTATAATAATAATGAAAAAACAATTTAAATGGAAATAAAACTGATTACAGAACCGCTGTTTTCATTCAATGATTTCTAAATGTAAATTTGCAAAAAATGTGACGTCACACTAGGGAGGGGGGGAGTCTTACAAATGTGACCAGCTGTGACAAGGACGGGGGGAGGGGCAAAAAAGACATGAAATTCGTGTGACGTAATTTATGGATGACCCCTATACAGTATTGTGACTCCGCCCTGTCCTTGAAAATAAATGCCTACACCGAGCGCTGCGTTAGCACGCGGTAGGGCCGCCCGTCTACAGTATTTTATGTAGTTTTGTTTTTAACGCGAGTGTAGGTAGATTACTCATTTGTCTCTTTTTTCATCCTAACCACTTATTTATATATTATTCCAGATATTTTGCCCGATGGAAAAACTGAAACACCTAAATATTAGAAACAAATAACGTACTGGTAGATAGGTATATAAAAAATATTCTATAAAGTTAAGACACCTTTCCAATATTTCAGGTAATTTAAAAAATGATATCTCTGGGTGTGTTATTGAAGAGTTCAAGCAACCAAAAACAGCAATTGTGTTGTTGTATGATATTGATCGTCGTTTGTTCTTTTCCATACTAAATTATGTAGGTATCTACTTAATTAAACAAAATATTTACAATACAAAACGCACGTTTAAGCACGGCTAAATGCATAAAAAACAATTCAGACCGTTCGGTCGTCGTTGCGGCGCGGCGGCGCATTCACGACTGGGTGCACGCCGAGAGCACATCGAACTCGAGTGGCGTAGGTATGACTCGCTTTCCGACCGTTTGTATGAAGATAGAATACTGTATGATATTATTACCGTGTATAAAGTCATTATCAAGACTGATGATTAAAAGAAAATTTGCTTATTAAAAAGTCAGTAGTTTAGTTTAAAAATATTAGTAAAGATTACTTTAAGACAAGGTTTTCTGCAGTTGGCAACATGAGTAACAACCAGATAGTGGGTCTGAACATGCTGCACATGCAGGGGCGTGTGCAGCCTAAGCCTGAGGTGGTTGGCGGCATGCTGGGTGCCGCCTACGGGCAGCGCGCGCCCGCCCCCAGCCAGTTCCTGCGCCAGAGCCCCTCGCCCTCCGCCCCCTCGCCCAATATGGGTGGGCCCAGTCCTGTCTCCATGGGTATGTAGTCATCATTGTATAGACTAATGATACGGACTAGCGGCTCCGACAGCCGGTTGTTCAATTGTAGCAATGTTATAAGTAAGAGTTATGGCATTTCTGTTCAAATTGTACCAGTCTGGGGGAGTAACCTCCATCTTACAGAAGACCACAGTAAAATAACACTATCTTTTGATGGTTTTGTGTTTTTTATGTTGGAGAGTATGGTTCCATTGCTCTATATGGTGAGTGAGAGAGCATCGTCCACAAGCTGCGGTCCAGTTCTCATTTTGTATGATATCAGCGCAAACTAACCGTTCGAGTGACTGCTACTAAGCTACTAGCGGCGTTTATTGGCCGCGATCAATGTGCGCTTGCTGTTACCATCAGACGGGCCATGTGCTTGTTTAAAATAAAAAAAGAATAAATAATATAAAAATAAAATTTATTCAAATATTACCAATTGTTTTAACGGTATAGAGGCACTGATTTATTTATTTATGACGTTTCGCATTCTTTTGAGGCTGCGTCGTCAGAATTTTATTTTTGTTAAAAGAAAATGATATAAAATCATAATTCTGACTGAATTTGATTGGTGTGAGCAAAATATGGCAAAACTCGTCCTAATCATAATCTTCATTTATTAGTTGTAAGTAACGTTGTAAGAATATGCGGTTTTAAAGAATGGATAAAACAAAGGCGTCGTCAGAATGATGACCTGCAAAGATGCAGCCTGAAAAGGATGTTTCGCATCCTCATAAATAAATAAATCAGTGCATCTTTACCGTTATGAAACTTGTTTTATTTAATGAGTGGTAAGCGTGAAAAGCTAAGAAGCAAATATATATTGTTTTTGTATTTGCGGCAGGTGTAATGGGCGGGGCGGGTGTAGGCGGCGGTCCGATGCCGTCCCCGCTGTCGGGACTGGGCGGGCTGGGCGCGTGCGGGGGCAGCCCCTCCCCCTCGGCGCCGCCGCAACACATCGCACACCACGTGGCACAGCAGCAGAGGTGAGATCCCCTCACACTTAAGTAATGAAAGGTGACTTCGTGAATCATCTCTGAAGTCATTTTTGAATTTGAAGACTCTGTAAATAATAAAACAGAGAGAAAAAAGAGTTCTTCTCAGTACAAGGTCTCCCGCCGTAGATTGATGAACCGATGGCGTAGCTTCTAGACATTCATATGTGCTTGTAACTGCCTAAACTGAGTAATGATTTTGATTGATTGATTGATTGACTTAACGTATGCAGTCGGAATTTCTATAATAGGGTATTCGACAAGTTTTAGAAAAAGATCTTACGTTATTAACTAATGTTTATGGAGTCCATAAAAAGTGGATATTGATCTTTCTGTTGTGTATCTCGGTAAAAAAAAAAACAAAAATTCAATTTTCAAGTTGCCACGAAAACCAGTTTTCTGGACATTATGGCGTCTCACTAATATGTCACGTCACGAGACTTCATACGAATTTCATTAAAACGCCGAATGATACAATGTAATGTCACTTTGACCGGAAGTTTACTACCGCGCGACGTCGAATTCGTTTTCGCCAATCCCAGCCGTTTTCGGTCACGTGACCAGAGAAAATTGCTGCTAATATTCATATTAAATACAGATGTCATCAATTGGTACTTATTTTTCATACTGTCAAAAAGCGTATTATATACTCAGTGCCTGCAATCACTTTACAAACGCGAACCAGGAATTCCGACGTCACAATCAGGGGTGTTATGGATATTGGCATCTGCAAATTCAGAATATTCGCATTAATTCAAATATCTTCACCTGCATCAACGGATGCGGATTCATATCAACAAGTAACGAAAAAAAGTGGGCGGAGCAAGACTGCTGAGATTGAAATCAGTTTAGTTTTGTTCTCAAAATTAACATGATAAACATAAAAATTTAATCGATTTACTTTTTTTATGAACTTAAAATTAAAATATCTTAATATTATCAAAGCGGCGGATGTAAAAATTATCGCATGGCCAACAACCCTGGTCACAATCGTCATGTCTTGGTATGATATTAACACTTTGTGCTTATCGTCGTTCTTCCATCTTACATCGATGTAAGCGATGTAATACGGTCGCTACAGCTTCCTTACATATTTTTTACGTAGCATTCAGTAAAAAAAAAAACAAGTTAAAGCCCACTGCGGAAAAGGGGGTGCTAACGATCTCTAATGCAACCAGAATTATAAAAGTTAATGTAGTGTGGTCCCGCCCAAGCACGGAAGAACTCTAACGGTAGTTGCTTACAGTGCGACAAAGATTTTTATGAACGTGAGCGACAGTTCAGAAGGGCGCTGCTGTCTACGTAAATGGCATACAAAGTATGACATTCACAAGAATGTCACCTTCATAAAGATCCTTCTCAAATTATAACAATTACAAGACTGAATGGCGGTGGCTAGTTAAATTTTTCTTGTTTACCATCTTATCTCAGAGGTGTAGGCATGGGTATGGTGGCGTCGCCGTCGTCGTCGCTAAACACCCCAGTGGGGGGCGGAGTGGCCTCTCCCGGAGGAGAGGAGGCCGCTTACCGGGAGAAGGTGCGCCAGTTGTCCAAATACATCGAGCCTTTGAGGAGGATGGTGCACCGCATGATGAGCGAGGGAGAGAGTGAGTAAATATATTATCCCAGGGGCGTAGACATGGGTATGGTGGCGTCGTGCCTGCATTCCAGCTGTCCAAATATATCGAGCCTTTGAGGAGGATGGTGCACCGCATGATGAGCGAGGGAGAGAGTGAGTAAATATATTATCCCAGGGGCGTAGACATGGGTATGGTGGCGTCGTGCCTGCATTCCAGCTGTCCAAATATATCGAGCCTTTGAGGAGGATGGTGCACCGCATGATGAGCGAGGGAGAGAGTGAGTAAATATATTATCCCAGGGTCGTAGACATGGGTATGGTGGCGTCGTGCCTGCATTCCAGCTGTCCAAATATATCGAGCTTTTGAGGAGGATGGTGCACCGCATGATGAGCGAGGGAGAGAGTGAGTAAATATATTATCTCAGGGGCGTAGACATGGGTATGGTGGCGTCGTGCCTGCATTCCAGCTGTCTAAATACATCGAGCTTTTGAGGAGGATGGTGCACCGCATGATGAGCGAGGGAGAGAGTGAGTAAATATATTATCCCAGGGGCGTAGACATGGGTATGGTGGCGTCGTGCCTGCATTCCAGCTGTCTAAATACATCGAGCTTTTGAGGAGGATGGTGCACCGCATGATGAGCGAGGGAGAGAGTGAGTAAATATATTATCCCAGGGGCGTAGACATGGGTATGGTGGCGTCGTGCCTGCATTCCAGCTGTCTAAATACATCGAGCTTTTGAGGAGGATGGTGCACCGCATGATGAGCGAGGGAGAGAGTGAGTAAATATATTATCTCAGGGGCGTAGACATGGGTATGGTGGCGTCGTGCCTGCATTCCAGCTGTCTAAATACATCGAGCTTTTGAGGAGGATGGTGCACTGCATGATGAGCGAGGGAGAGAGTGAGTAAATATATTATCCCAGGGGCGTAGACATGGGTATGGTGGCGTCGTGCCTGCATTCCAGCTGTCCAAATACATCGAGCCTTTGAGGAGGATGGTGCACCGCATGATGAGCGAAGGAGAGAGTGAGTAAATATATTATCCCAGGGGCGTAGACATGGGTATGGTGGCGTCATGCCTGCATTCCAGCTGTCCAAATATATCGAGCCTTTGAGGAGGATGGTGCACCGCATGATGAGCGAAGGAGAGAGTGAGTAAATATATTATCCCAGGGGCGTAGACATGGGTCTGGTGGCGTCGTGCCTGCATTCCAGCTGTCCAAATACATCGAGCCTTTGAGAAGAATAGTGCACCGCATGATGAGCGAGGGAGAGAGTGAGTAAACATCTTACCTCAGGGGCAAAGGCATGAGTATTGTGACCGCAGTGGGGAGGGTTAACATCCCATGGGGGCGAGGAGGCCGCCTGCTGTAAGAAGCATTCAAAATTTATCCAATCCAGTTTGTATTATATTATAAACCTTTCGTATTTTTTATACATAAGATCGCATTTAATTAGCTGTCCCCTTTTTGTACACCCTGTATTTATTAGGGTAACTACACACATAAAAGGGCCCGGTATTAATCTGCACAGCCGGGCGGTAAAATCGAATATGAGGAGCCGGCGAACAAAACGGTATAATTACGCATCTGGTCAAACTACTTTTTTTTACAGTCTGGAGGTTTCGGGTCCGTTCAATTTAATCTCAAATAATTTTCAATGAAAATCGCCTAAAACAGTGTTAAAATTACTAAATTTATAAATTAAAAACCATGCCAAAAGCTCACTGTAGGTATGTCATTTAGTTTTATACAGCTCCTGTAAAAAATAATTTTATGTAATTATACCGTTTGTTCGCCAGCTCCTCATATTTCGTCAATGTTTTGTAGAAAGGGCAAATAAGCCATTTTTCGGCAACATAGTTTTATAGTAAACTACAGTTCTACATGACTATTTGTATTGATCATATTAACAGCGAAAGTGTGTAAGCCTCCGAACCATGAAAATAACATATAATAGTGAATATCACATACTTGTTACGAATTAGGCCTAATGAGGCATTTTCGCCTTAACAATCTTTAGTCATCATAAATGGCTTATTCGCCCTCTCTACTAAGCATTGACGATGTGTGTTCAGAATGTGTGAATGTTCGGCAGTAATTACTGTGGATCAGCTTTGTTCTTCGACAAATACTGCTGAACCGTCTATGCTACCCTTCCACATGTAAAATTTCCATTCAAAACTCCGGATTGTCCCTCCAGACGTGGAGAAGCTGACCAAGATGAAGAACCTGCTGGAGATCCTGCAGAGCCCCAACAAGCGCATGCCGTTGGAAACGCTCATCAAGTGCGAAGTGGTGCTGGAGAAGCTGGACTTCAAGCGCAGCGAGGGAGTCGTCGTGGGCCTGCCGCCCGGGAAGGTAGGAAACGTATTGTATTATCCTTAACCAGACGTGGAAATCTGATCAAGATGAAGACCTGCTGGAGATCATTCAGAGCCCCAACAAGCGCAGCGAGGGAGTCGTCGTGGGCCTGCCGCCCGGGAAGGTAGGAAACGTATTGTATTATCCTTAACCAGACGTGGAAATCTGATCAAGATGAAGACCTGCTGGAGATCATTCAGAGCCCCAACAAGCGCAGCCAGGGAGTCTTCGTGGGCCTGCCGCCGGGGAAAGTAGGAAGCGTAAGTTATTATCCTTAACCAGACGTGGAGATCTGACCAAGATGAAGCACTGTTGGAGATCCGGCAGAGCCCCAACAAGCGCAGCCTGGGAGTCTTCGTGGGCCTGCCACCCGGGAAGGTAGGAAACGTAATGTAATATCCTTAACCAGACGTGGAGATCTGATTAAGATGAAGACCTGCTGGAGATCATGCAGAGCCCCAACAAGCGCAGCCAGGGAGTCTTCGTGGGTCTGCCGCCGGGGAAAGTAGGAAGCGTAAGTTATTATCCTTAACCAGACGTGGAGATATGATTAAGATGAAGACCTGCTGGAGATCATGCAGAGCCCCAACAAGCGCAGCCAGGGAGTCTTCGTGGGCCTGCCGCCGGGGAAGGTAGGAAACGTCCTGTATTATCCTTAACCAGACGTGGAGATCTGGCCGAGATGAAGAATATAATCCCCTATTAAGAATATTACTAGCAAACCAGTGAACCAAAAATGTATTTAATTAATTGAGAACTTCGGAGATTTTGTGTGGTTTCCTTTGAAATAGAAATCACGTGATTTCTCGAAAACCGGAAGTGCTACGTTACTCACATCCGGTTTGTAGTCTTATCAGACTATTCTTAACTTATAACTTAAACATTCTCTATATCTATCTCTTACGGTTTGGCCGCTGAAACAGCACCACGGACGGAAGGACGGACTTGTCTAATAGATAAGAGATACCCTATCGCACGGTATTGGCAAAAGCGTGACATCAATTGTTTTTTTCAAATACCTATTTCTCACATGTCTCTCAGCTTAAGTTTGACTCACTATGACCATTGTGCAATTAACGCGGGTGAAACCACAGGGCATCTTTACTAAATAAATATTGTTTGCAGGAGCCGATCTACAACCCGTTATTAGAAGTGGTGAACAACTGCCTGCAGTCACCGCTCGCGAACCACACGCTCAAGCGAACGTTCGGCTCCACGCTCGACGCGCTCAACGGGCCTGAGATCAAGTCAGTATTGTTCACTGAGACATAGTTATTATAGTTCCATATATAGATCGCGAACCACACGCTCAAGCGAACGTTCAGCTCCACGCTCGACGCGCTCAACGGGCCTGAGATCAAGTCAAATTCAAATTCAAATTCAAACTCATTTATTCAGTCTAGGCTGTTACAAGCTCTTGTGAAAGTCAAACGCTACGCCATCGGTTCGTAAATCTACGGCGGGAGACCTTGTACTGAGAAGAACCGGCAAGAAACTCAGCAAGGGCTATTTTTTTCTCCCTGTTTTGTTTCACACAGTGTCGTCAATTGAAAGATGACATCAAAAATTGAATACATGTGTTGATGTCAACTTCCATCACATTAATATTATTAATTAACAAAAGTTAAGTATAACTAGGTACTATTTTTAAATTTAGAAGTGGCGATTAAACAATTTTCAACCAAATTAGCAAAGTAAAAAGACAGTCTATTATGTTAAGCCCAAGGTGACTTATCATTTATGAAATCTTTTACAGTATAGTAACCTTTCTTAAGGAGACATGTTTTTATACACACTTTAAACTTATTAAAAGGTAAATTAATTATTTCTTTTGGTATTTTATTATAGTAACATACACCTTGACCCACAAATGAACCAAGAACCTTTTGGAGTCTCAATGGTGGCAATTTGAGTTTATCTTTATTTCTGGTATTGAAATTATGTACATCATCGCGCCTCGTATATAAATTTATGTTCTGACGCACAAACAATATACAATTGTAAATGTATTGAGAGGCAACAGTCATTATACCTATTTCTTTAAATTTATCCCTAAGAGAAGTTCGAGATCCCAAGCGGTAAATGGCTCTTATAGCTCGTTTTTGAAGAATAAAAACTGTTTCAATGTCTGCGGCCGTGCCCCATAATAGAATGCCATATGACATAATGCTGTGAAAGTAGCTGAAGTATATTGTCCTAGCAGTGTCGACATCTGTAAGCCGTCTTATTTTATAAATTGCATAAGCAGCAGAACTTAGTTTACCGGCTAGTGTTGTAATGTGAGGGTTCCATTGAAGTTTGTGGTCTAGTGTTACGCCTAAGAAAACGGTTGTATCGACTAAAATTAGTTTTTCACCATTTAGAATTATATCCCCCATTTCAACATGCTTTACATTCGGCAAAGTAAATTTCACACATTTAGTTTTGCTCGCATTCAGTTTAAGATTATTAGAAGAGAACCAGTGAAGTACCTTGGAAAGTGCATTGTTTACATCGTCATAATTTGTTTTACACCTGTCAACGTTAAAAATTAGCGAGGTGTCATCTGCAAACAAAACAATTTCACAAAAATTTTCTACAAAGAAAGGTAAATCATTAATGTAAATTAAAAAAAGAAATGGACCTAAAATTGAACCCTGAGGAACGCCTATTTTCACATGAGATCCGGCTGATTTTGTACCGTTAATATCAACTATTTGTGTCCTTTCTGTTAAATATGATTGCACTAATTTTTGTGCGGAATCTTTTATGCCGTAATGATTTAATTTCCGTAACAAAGTTTGATGATTAACGCAATCAAACGCTTTAGATAAATCGCAGAAAACCCCAAGAGCATTCTGCGACTTTTCCCAAGCATTAAATATATATTTTAGCATAGTGGCCCCAGCATCAGTCGTGGAACGGTTTTTAGTGAAACCGTACTGCGCTCTGTGTAAAAGTTTATTAATGTTAAAATGAGTCAACAATTGTTCTAACATTATTTTTTCAAAGATTTTACTCAATGCTGGTAATATAGATATTGGCCTATAGTTGCTAGGATCTTTACAATTTCCAGACTTAAATAAAGGTATGATTTTACTGAATTTCATAAGATCAGGGAATACTCCCTGATCTATACATGAATTAAAAATATCAGCTAGGTAAGGGGCTATAGAATGTATAATATTATTTATGACTTTGACAGATATACCCCATAAATCAGATGCATTTTTCATTTTTAATGAATGGAAAACTTTAATTATTTTAAAAGAACTAACGTGCTTGAAATTAAATAATAAACCACACGGAGGTACATATTTTTGTAACAGAGCTGTAGCAGTATCAGACGATGAGTCCAAGTTGGAAGTAGTTTCTAATGGTATATTCATAAAAAAATTATCGAAAATATCTGCGACTTCATGTTTCGATTTTACGAGATTATTATTGATTTTAAGAACCATGCTATTTTCACGAGGCTTACACTTGCCACTTTCGCGCTTAATGATATCCCAAGTGGTCTTTATTTTATTACTAGATTTTTTAATTTTATCCCTAATAAAATTGGACTTTGCAGTATTACATATGCTTTTAAACAATTTGGAATATTTTCTAACATAGTTAATAAACTCAGGATCCTGGTTATATTCTTTGATTCTATAAAGCTCATACAGCCTTGTTCTACTCTTATATATACCACTTGTCGCCCAGTCACAGAACTGCAACTTCTGTGTACATTTAATGGTTTTCATTCTGAACGTATTTTGAAATTCATTATTTATTAAATTAAAAAGATTTTTGTACAAAATATCCGGATCATCATGCGTCCAAGGCATTAAAGGAAGTTTATCGCTAATGTTATTTTTAAAATTATTAACGCGCTCAGTTGTTATAGGTCTACACTCTATTATGTTCGGCTCAGTACTGACATTGAAACTATATGTTGTCTTTAAACCGAGATGATCGGAAGTAATATCACTAAAGACTGACCCTTCAATTGCATCCAATTCAGAAAAAAAGTTGTCTATACAAGTGGCTGAGTGAGATGTTACTCTGGTTGGTTCAGTAAACTGGAAATTTAAATTAAAACATTTAAACAAAGTAATTAACCGAAGACTCAAAGAGCTATTTTCAAGTAGATTGACATTAAAATCACCACATACTATTACAGATTTATTTTTTAATTTATTGAGAGAGTCCTCCATGACTGATTCAAATGTATCAAAGTTTCCTGAGGGGGGCCGGTATACACATACTATATAAAAATTTACTAACTCTACACACGACAGCTCAACATGGCGTTCCACTGAAAGGCTTACAATGTCCTTTCTTTCCTTACATTTTACATGATGTTTTACAAAAATTAAAGACCCTCCATGAATAGCTGTCCTGCGTACAAATGCACTGGAGAGTTGAAAATTGTTTAAATAAAATGACATTTCATGTTGTTGCAGCCAGTGTTCAGTTATGCACATGATATGAGTTTCATGACTTTTAGCTAATAATTCTAACTCTAAGTCTTTGCCGGCCAAGCCCTGGATATTTTGGTGAATAATATTGACATAATGGGGCTTAGCTTTTGTCATACGCTTCAGTTTAAATCTAAAGAGTTTATTGTAGAACTACAATTTATCAAAAGATTTGAATTAGTACAAGTACTAATGTCAGTTTTAAAAGAAGTAATTACAATTTGTAAATTAAAAGCTAACAAATTAGCTAATTGTGTCCGAGATTTCTTTGAAAGATACATAGTATCTGAAGTCAGTTTAAAATTACTAATAAATTTATTAATGTCAAAAAACAAAATGACGTCACTATGACGATTAATCAAATTATACAAGTATGTATTTAAATCAAAGATGCGCTTATTTTCATCCCACGTCAAATTTTTAGCATAAGGGAAAGCGCTGATTATTAATTTGCAGTTAGTTTCTCCTTGTAACTTTAATAATACATTAAAACTATTCAATATGTCCCTTTTTCTAATGTCAGAGCTGTCACCACATAAAATGATTAAATTGGTAAAACTATCTACTTTATGCATTGTAACATTATTTACAATTTCTTTAAATGATTGCCCAGGAAAGCATAAATTGTAAAATTTATTATTATATTTATTACTCATAATAGATGAAAGTCCCTGACCTAATTTGTCAGAAAGCATGACAGTCTTTGGTGAATTAAGGTTCTGTGAAAGCGCTGGTTCAAACAATTTTTCACTATAAGTGGTTTGTATTTTTTCTGTATGGGCTGATGAATGACAGGAATTCTGTGTGATTACAATTTCTTTGTCTTTTCTAAGGTCTTCATTTGAGATGTCCACTGGGCAATTAACTATATTTAACATTTGGTTATTTATTAATGAGTCATAGCGCTCAGCATTATAGTTACATAACTCCACCAACTCTGATGCAGATTTGATGTGCTCATCAATCTGCCTCTGAGCATTGAAATATTTATTTTCTAAAGATCCCATTGATTCATGCAATTGTATGATTTTAGATTGCAATTCTTTAGTATCCCGGTCATACAACTCCCTGCTTTCAATTAACTTATTACTATAAATTTCTATGGAATCCAAAAGATTCATGCGTTCCTTCCTTAAGGCAATATTTTTGTAGAAGCTATTATTTTTCTTAATTAATCTATCAGTTTTCTTAATAAATTTATGAATTTTTATATATTTCTTTAATTTCCTACTGCCTAAATTTAGAGGTCTAGGTATGTTAATACTATTGCTACTGGATAGCGACTGTCTTGCTGACTGTATTTCTGAAGATTCCATCAGTTCTTCAAAAAGACTGAGTGTATGTTCCGTTTCTTGCTGTTGTTGCTGCTGAACGAGTTGACTAATATGGTGGTTGGCATCTATGAGTTCCCGTTCCAGCTCGGTGATGCGGTCCAGGGCCCTCTCATATGTGTTGCATTGCTGGTCGAAGGTACTAAGTGTGCTTTTCAGTTGGTCTCTTTCCTGAATGACATCTACATGTTGTGAATGCAGTTCAGCTAATTCAATCTTCAGCTGTGAGTTTCGACTAACAACAGCTTTGATTTCCATTTCGCTATCTTCACGTTCCCGTAGAAGCTGATCACATGTATTCTTCGATTCCTTTAGCTCCAGCAGGACCTGCCTCAACTTCATCTCTGTGTTTTGTGCAACAGCTTTGCGGGTCAGCATGATGATGGTGATAAATACCTAAAATGTTTTATATGCTATTAGGCAATGTTATCACTATTTTTTTAGATTTAGTACTTTTTTCACAGCAAATTATAATTAAATGAACTATTACTGGTGGGTAGATACTATTATTGGTGGTCTGTTTACCTATAAAATTAAAACCATACACTCATTAAACACGAACAAAACTCAAAAATATTATCTAAGTTACAAGGGTTAATTGAAATGAAATTATACTTTAATCAAATTCACTTATTGAAAGCTCATTCAAGAATTAAAAGTTATTAATTATGTATTCTACTAATATGGCCCCGTTGCTTATTTATTATAAATTATAAATGGCTACACAACAAATAAGTTTCTCTTATATAAAAAAAAAAAAGTAGGTAATTGTGTTTGTAGTGGTAGTGATTGTGAAGAGTAATAGTACAATGAATGACTGGAGCAAATTAGTCACCATCAAACTTTACTTCCACTTTTGTCAAGCAAAGAGAGGTATACTGTGGCTTTTCGTTTTGTAATGTGACGTTACTCACTAAGTATGTGAGTTTTGATAAGTAGTTTGTGGAATGTCATACGTTTATTTGAGTGTGAACTATAGAGAAACTTAATTGCTATGAAAGAAATGATACTTAGCAAAACAATGACAATACACATAAGTTATTTAAACATCAATATTACTTATTAGCTTATTTAAAATAAGGAACAAATGTACTCCCCCGGTTTATGATGCAGCAGTTCACACTTTTATCCTTTATCCTTCAGTTTTTCTTATGAATAATTCTTGAACTTCGAAATTTTTTCTTCACAAGTATAGTTTTGACAAGGCGGTCGTTCGTTACGATTTTGATGGTGCAATAATTTAAATATCTAGGATCCTATCTTTGGGAAAACGATACTACATAATATTTATAGCCTAATCTACACTGTGAAATAACTTTTACTAATATAAATCACGAAAAATTGTATTAAAATTAAATTACAAAACAGCTGATACACTTTGACTTTGTTGTATCTAAGGACTGATTTACAATCACTTAATCAGTCAGTATTGTTCACTGAGACATAGTTATTATAGTTCCATATATAGACCACGAACCACACGCTCAAGCGAACGTTCGGCTCCACGCTCGACGCGCTCAACGGGCCTGAGATCAAGTCAGTATTGTTCACTGAGACATAGTTATTATAGTTCCATATATAGACCGCGAACCACACGCTCAAGCGAACGTTCGGCTCCACGCTCGACGCGCTCAACGGGCCTGAGATCAAGTAAGTATTGTTCACTGAGACATAGTTATTATAGTTCCATATATAGATCGCGAACCACACGCTCAAGCGAACGTTCGGCTCCACGCTCGACGCGCTCAACGGGCCTGAGATCAAGTCAGTATTGTTCACTGAGACATAGTTATTATAGTTCCATATATAGATCGCGAACCACACGCTCAAGCGAACGTTCAGCTCCACGCTCGACGCGCTCAACGGGCCTGAGATCAAGTCAGTATTGTTCACTGAGACATAGTTATTATAGTTCCATATATAGATCGCGAACCACACGCTCAAGCGAACGTTCAGCTCCACGCTCGACGCGCTCAACGGGCCTGAGATCAAGTCAGTATTGTTCACTGAGACATAGTTATTATAGTTCCATATATAGATCGCGAACCACACGCTCAAGCGAACGTTCGGCTCCACGCTCGACGCGCTCAACGGGCCTGAGATCAAGTCAGTATTGTTCACTGAGACATAGTTATTATAGTTCCATATATAGATCGCGAACCACACGCTCAAGCGAACGTTCAGCTCCACGCTCGACGCGCTCAACGGGCCTGAGATCAAGTCAGTATTGTTCACTGAGACATAGTTATTATAGTTCCATATATAGATCGCGAACCACACGCTCAAGCGAACGTTCGACTCCACGCTCGACGCGCTCAACGGGCCTGAGATCAAGTCAGTATTGTTCACTGAGACATAGTTATTATAGTTCCATATATAGACCGCGAACCACACGCTCAAGCGAACGTTCGGCTCCACGCTCGACGCGCTCAATGGGCCTGAGATCAAGTCAGTATTGTTCACTGAGACATAGTTATTATAGTTCCATATATAGATCGCGAACCACACGCTCAAGCGAACGTTCAGCTCCACGCTCGACGCGCTCAACGGGCCTGAGATCAAGTCAATATTGTTCACTGAGACATAGTTATTATAGTTCCATATATAGATCGCGAACCACACGCTCAAGCGAACGTTCAGCTCCACGCTCGACGCGCTCAACGGGCCTGAGATCAAGTCAGTATTGTGCATTCAGACACAGTTATTCAAAATTCAATATTGTTTATTCAGTCTAGGCTGTTACAAGCACTTGTGATCAGCAAGGGCTGTTTTTTTCTCCCTGTATTATATACAGGGTCGTCAAATTGAAAAATGACTTCAATATGAGGTAACTCATAAAGTCACTTTCCATTACAAATGCAAATAATATAAAAATTATGACTATAAAATAAAAAAAAATGGTTTAACATAGTTTAGGAATGCCTTGTCCTACTGTTAAGGCAAAAACAAATAATAACAGATTAAAGTTTACTGCAACGATCATCATCATCAGCCTATTAATGTCCCCACTGCTGGGGCACAGGCCTTTCCTAAGGATGGAATAGGGAGATTGAGCCGTGACCCACCACGCGGGCCCAGTGCGGATTGGTGTCTGCTGTCGATGCAGCCGGAACCAACGGCTTAAAGTGGCTCCCGAAGCACGAAGGAGTGAGAGATAGTAATTTCTTGGTCACCCATCCTATGACCAGCCATTGCGAAAGTTTGCTTTACTTTCGCGATAGTAGACTAAATATACTCGAGCGCGTCTTGATTTAAAACAACGCATATATCGTAGTCATAGCAACGTACGTATCCAGTCAAAATATTACCTCTTAAAATGTCTGTTTGCTGTTCAATATTCTAGGCCTTAGGCCGATCCCAAACTTAAGTAGGCAACTGTATCTTATAGTATGTTTTACTTCTAGCATTTAACTGCTAGGTGTTTAAGTCTAAAGAAAATTTTACTAGAAAAATATTACACCTAAATTTTTTGAAAGCGGCAGACTGGATTCGATCCCACACCCTCCTCTATCCGAACCGATGCACTGACTAATTATGCTACCGCGGCCCTAATAGCCGTGTCGAATTACCTTTTGTCGGCCGTTCGATAGCGGAGGGTGCGGGTTCGAGTCCCGTCTGCTGACTTAACCACTTGGAACTTTTCTTGTAAAATTTTCTTTAACTGTAATCATAACTTATTTAAACAATATCTGTACAGGAACTTGCCACCACCACATAAAGTTCAGAAAGTCGAAGAACCGACAATGGATATTCCGGACGTGCTGCAGGGTGAAATAGCAAGATTGGATTCCAGGTTTAAGGTTTGGAACTATTTTCATTACATGTATCCTTCCATAAAATCTAATGACCAATAAACCGTCTATACCACGGCGAGTGTTCTGAGGAGTTATTCTCCCTTATCCTCCATCACCTTTTCTTCATAGGACCACATGCACTGGCCTACGTTGTCACCAACTTATAATGCGAATCAAATAAGAATAGAAAAGCCAATGACCTCCATCTGTCAAATCTCGCTTGAAAAGTACGGTTTGCAAAAAAATCTCGTAACATTTTTTTAGCGCTCAGCTGATTCTAGAATAAAAACCAAACATTTTTAAACAAACAATAACAAAGTTGATAATTAATATTATTTGTTTTTTTTTTCACTTATTGAGTATTGGCTTTGAATGGTTGATAACATAAATCGTCAACCAAATGTCAATTTATGTTCCGTTCAGAAACTCGATTTAAAACTTTCGTTTACATATAGGATGCATGTTCGTATGTGACCTGATTATTCATAACTTCTCCGGCGGTAATGCAGAGATGAGCGAAATTGAAGAGCTAGATTTTGATTAATGTTTTTTTTCACACAGTCTTAATAAAGAAATACTATTAAAATCGGTTGTGTTCTTTCTCAACCTTAGTAAATTAATTTTATTAAAAAATCTGATGTTTTGTCTCACTTAATCTTAGTAAATAAGTTTTATTAAATAGCAAAATTTTTTTGCTCACTCTACCCATTTGGTTTGAATTGACAGCTATGACGTCAAAATATGGCGCCCAGTCGATCCTATTCTTAGTTGAATCGCATTATACTGTGGCAACTATTCCTACACGACCAAAGAAATTTGGTGACTCATTTCTTTGTCCTACTATTCGCAAGTGGAATTCTTTGTCCTTTAAGAGAGGCGTGAAGAAGCATTTTTGCAGGCCGGTAAGGTGAGGATGGTTGGTGTGGCAGTTTATAACTGCTGTACCAGCTACATCGCGTTTGGACTTTATCACCACTTAACATCAGGTGGAGTAGAGTCATATGCCTGCCTGGCTATATAAAAAAAACCCTCCCAAGTTTTTAAGGAAAAAAAGTTTTTTAGCTAGACTCCACCACTACAATATCAGTTGTGGTGACGTCATTTGACTTAAATAATTATGTTCTTCCTTGAAATGTGTCCAACTGAAATGTTGTGAAGCTGAGCTTTTCAACTTTCCGTTTAGCTTCTATTTTATTTGCTTAGGGCAGTGGAATGAGTCTACTTTTTTCCACATTAGTATGAATAACCGCTAACAAATTTTCGGTTTCACTACGCGATTATGTATTGTTACTTAATCAAGCGATGAAAACGAAAATTTTGTTGGACATCACTACTTCAATTAACTTTTGCTTTTGTCACTCAACTCCCGTTCGCCTCGCCCGAACACACTTTTCGTAATGCGTAACGCATTCGCCAGCTTACCCCCCAAGTCAAGTTTGTTTGTGTCATGTTTCACTTCAAAAAAGAAAATTTTTAACATGTTACTCTCACAGGTGTCATTGGAAACGATGCAGCTGTCGGGCGGTACCGGTGCGATCTCGCTCATAGCTCAGTTAGACGACGCGCGGTTGCCGTGCGTGCCCGCCGTGCACGTGACCGTGCCGCGCGACTACCCGGCGCACTCGCCCGCCAGGATGCGGACCACCAGGCGGCGGGACACCACGCCCCCCGACTCGTTCCTGGCGCGCGTGGAGCGGGCCATGGACGCGCGATGTGCGAGGTCAGTGACCCGCGGGTGCAGCGCCACACGTGACCGTGCCGCGCGACTACCCGGCGCACTCGCCCGCCAGGATGCGGACCACCAGGCGGCGGGACACCACGCCCCCCGACTCGTTCCTGGCGCGCGTGGAGCGGGCCATGGACGCGCGATGTGCGAGGTCAGTGACCCGCGGGTGCAGCGCCACACGTGACCGTGCCGCGCGACTACCCGGCGCACTCGCCCGCCAGGATGCGGACCACCAGGCGGCGGGACACCACGCCCCCCGACTCGTTCCTGGCGCGCGTGGAGCGGGCCATGGACGCGCGATGTGCGAGGTCAGTGACCCGCGGGTGCAGCGCCACACGTGACCGTGCCGCGCGACTACCCGGCGCACTCGCCCGCCAGGATGCGGACCACCAGGCGGCGGGACACCACGCCCCCCGACTCGTTCCTGGCGCGCGTGGAGCGGGCCATGGACGCGCGATGTGCGAGGTCAGTGACCCGCGGGTGCAGCGCCACACGTGACCGTGCCGCGCGACTACCCGGCGCACTCGCCCGCCAGGATGCGGACCACCAGGCGGCGGGACACCACGCCCCCCGACTCGTTCCTGGCGCGCGTGGAGCGGGCCATGGACGCGCGATGTGCGAGGTCAGTGACCCGCGGGTGCAGCGCCACACGTGACCGTGCCGCGCGACTACCCGGCGCACTCGCCCGCCAGGATGCGGACCACCAGGCGGCGGGACACCACGCCCCCCGACTCGTTCCTGGCGCGCGTGGAGCGGGCCATGGACGCGCGATGTGCGAGGTCAGTGACCCGCGGGTGCAGCGCCACACGTGACCGTGCCGCGCGACTACCCGGCGCACTCGCCCGCCAGGATGCGGACCACCAGGCGGCGGGACACCACGCCCCCCGACTCGTTCCTGGCGCGCGTGGAGCGGGCCATGGACGCGCGATGTGCGAGGTCAGTGACCCGCGGGTGCAGCGCCACACGTGACCGTGCCGCGCGACTACCCGGTGTACTCGCCCGCCAGGATGCGGACTACCAGGCGGCGGGACACCACGCCCCCCGACTCGTTCCTGGCGCGCGTGGAGCGGGCCATGGACGCGCGATGTGCGAGGTCAGTGACCCGCGGGTGCAGCGCCACACGTGACCGTGCCGCGCGACTACTGCTGCGGCCACGAGGTGGTCGGCCTATATTAACCTTCCTTTCCTTTCCTTGCACGGGTGGAACGAGCTATGGACGTTAAGTGTGCAAGATCAGGCACCCCCCAGTACACTTGCCAGGGCATAACCTTTGAAAGCGCTGAACATTTTGAAATTATATATTTTCTTTTGATACAAAATATCCTCGTGTCTAACCATGAACAGCTCTTACTACCAATATAACATTTTCATTTAACGGAATAACAGAATTTATGTGAATATATTTTGCATCACATATTTCCGAAATTCTGTAGCTAGACAATCTTCCACAGTAAGTTAACTCGTAAATCTATTTTGCAGGCTTCCTAAACGCTGCTCGGTTGGACAACTCCTCGACGCTTGGGAGATGAGTGTGCGGCAAGCATGCGCGCCCAACCCGGCCGCGTACTCTCCCGTGCCAGCCCTTGGCCTATAATCACCCAAATAATTACCTTGGGGAGGGAACAAGGCTACATAAATTACAGAAACACATGAATGAAGTGTATAAGTGCAGCATTGAAGTGTTTCAGCGACAGGTCTCAAGAATTACAGAAAGTTGTTATGTGAAGTGTTTAAGTGCAGCATTTGAGTGTCTCAGCGACAGGTCACAAGAATTATAGAAAGATGCGAATGAAGTGTTTAAGTGCAGCATTTAAGTGTCTCAGGGACAGGTCACAAGAATTACAGAAAGATGCGAATGAAGTGTATAAGTGTAGCATTTAAGTGTCTCAGTGTTAAAGGTCTCAAGAATTACAAAAAGACATGAATGAAGTGTTTTAAGTGAAGCATTTTAAGAATGTTGTACAAGCGCCTAATATGTCAATGGACTTTGTGTCAAATGTATGTCAGCGATATGAAAATGCTTATGAAGTCTGTGAGCAAGCAACCAGATGTTTGTGCAAGATTTTTTATATTTTTACAGATTATTAAATTTTTCAATAAAAACACGAATGGAAAAAAAATCATAAACGCTATGTATGGGTCTCTTGATATATAAAGTCAAGGGAGTCTATCTTTTACCACTTTAAGGCAATTTAAAGTTTTTGACCATTACAATGATCAAGATTATTAATAACGCTGTGAAGATTTTGTCACCGGTTTTTCTCCACACTCATAAAAAATTTCCTTAACAGGCGGAAGGGAAATAAATATGGACAATTCAAAAGAGTTGTATTATTCTTTCAATTTGAAAAAAGAAATTTTGATTTATTTATTTTTAATTTGAATGTAATATTTTTTCAACATGTGCATGAATAGAAGTTAATTTTTTACGTAATTGAGATAAAATTTGCAACTATTCAATATAAATACAATATTATGATTGTGCTGTTATGGACTTATTGTTACAAATGCATGAAATGAATAATTGATTAACATCTGCTTTCATGTTTTTTTATTATTAAATTTAAAAATAAATGTGTGTACAATTATGAATTTTTGTAGAACTGTTCTTCTCATTATTTGTTTTTTTTTTAATGACAGTTATATTGCATAGTAATAAGCTTACCTCTTTTGACAATATACATCTTGAGGTTATATCTCCCAATAGGGTATTTGATAACATTTTGAAAACAATTTTATGTAACTTACTCATGCTTATGGAGTTCATTAAAAGTTGATTTTTATCTATGGTGTCTCACTAATATGTGACGTTACACGACTGTCATTCAAACATCAAACGATACAATGTAATGCCACTTTGAATCTTATTTTACTAGCGTGTGACGTCATTTTAGTCTTCGCCAATCCCAAACCGTTTTTGGTCACTTGACTATAGATAAAAGACTGTTATCTTTTATGAAAAATTTACATATTAATTATTTTTTCTCTAAAAATAGTAAAAACCCTACCAATATTCATTCTTAATACAAATGGTAACATTTAGTACCTTATTTGTAATACTGTCAAATACTGTATTAGAAGAATTTACTTACAACAATATTATGTAAAAAAAACATATTTCGTTAAATTGATTTTATTATTAATATTAATTAGACTAAGCTTAAAAGATTAAGTGGTTTTATGTATTCCAACTGCAATCTGTATTTATTTAAGTAATATTTCGACAAAAGAAGGTTAATCATAGGGTTGCCATGTCTCCAGATATAGATATTTTTATACAAAAATATGTTTTGAAACGTAAGGGAAAAGGAAACGGCAATAAATTTATTCAACTATGAAAATAAGTTTTTTAGTAGATTATTTTTTACAATGCAATCTATTTATGTGTAAGTGAGTACTGTTGACCGTATTTAAAAAAACAATTTTAAAATGTTTTTAGCTAACCGAAATTTATGGCAACCCTCTTAAAACCAAATTTTATAGTTTCACACTAAGGTTCTATAGTAAGTCTTATTTTTTGCTAAGGGTACCTCTAAATATGTTGATTTTAAAAATGTGTGAAAGATACACACTACAGATGTGATATTTGTCTGTGATAATTTAAAAAAAAAGACATTAATTAGTCCAAACTAGGTCTCTATTAGGATTTCTCGTAACTTCATAAAATTACTTGTTGATTGATGCTATAGAGCAAATCGTCATGATTAAACAAGGTTCAGCTATGTGTAAATACATTAGAATTAGCAGTACCCTTAGTACGAACCAATATCGATTGATGCATCAATAGTCAAGATTTTTTGTATGGATGATTTTTAATACCCATTACATTTGCTGTGGTGCTGTTCAAATTTCCATACAACATTTCTCGACATTTGACACATAACGAGTTTGAATTCAACTATTCGAATTCAATATTAGTTTGCGCTAAGGATACTAGTGCATGTCTTATTAGAACAAGTTTAAATTCACCCTAATAACATAAACATAAATTATTTTAAATACTCATTTATGTGAGGAGAATTCATTTGTTTGGTTCACAAAGTAACAAATTTTGAATGGGATATTTATGTTACTCAGTGTTTCATAACTAAATTCACCAAAAAGTTTTCAGCTAATTGTGAAATGAAATTACGTCAATTGACATTAAAATAGAGTTGTGATTGCACATATCTGAATTCACCTTAACTTTATTCATTGTTATTCATTTGTTTTACAACTCTTTGGCACATTGATTTTTTTTAAAGTATTTTTTAAATATGTATGTTGTTAATAATAGTTTTGGAAACTTATCGTGAGATTATAATTATTTCTTCAGTAAATAGAGGTCCCTTTCTTTTAAAGGATTTTTAATAGTGTAGAAAAAAGTTTAAATAATTGTGGTTAATTTTAAAAGAAAACTGTAAGTATTTGAATTTTTGGATTGGGTTCTCATTAAACATCTCCTTATCTCACTGACTTTTTGTTTTTATATCTCCTTGTAAAGTAAGGCTGCATTTAATTATTCAAAGTGAATGCTATACTAGTAGCATGGCCATACAACATTGTATGACGTATTTACGCGTAGTAATAATGGTACAGTAGCATAGCATAGTCTGAATGCATCTTACAACTAACTTAATAGCAGAGTTCATTTTCTAGTAGTAAATGCCTTCACTTTAGCTATAAGAGAAGGAATTTAAATTGCTTAGCAGTAACTTAAGTATACGAATTCCTTGGCATTTACATGTCTGAGTGCATTTTTATCTCAGTTGTGGGATAGGCTCCTGGGCCACAGCCCCGCCCGCTGTGTCCTACATCCGGCCTTGCTGAGTGCGGTCGAAAATTATCTTTATTTGAGGCAGTATTGCGTTCCTTTTCAATCCGGTGCGTAGGTAAGTATTATAAGAAAAACACGCAATTATTTGTTTTTAAATAAGTACGTTAAACAAAAAAACTGCGTGACTGCAACCTGCCGTCATAACAATAATAAAATTGGTCGCAAATGATAAAAAAAAATGATTTTATCTACCTATTTTATCCATATTTAAGTTACATTTTGGAACGAATAACTAAGGATACTCTAACAGGCTCCTATCAAAAAGGTTGGGCAATTCGAGCAGTGAAGCGTGAGCCCATCTCAAAGGGGGCTTCCTTAAACCTACGCAAGTCCCGGGAACTGCTCAAGAGTTTTTCTCCCGACCTGGCACCTGCACGGTGAATCCATGGATTGCTAAGAAGTTCGCCCAGCAGTGCCCCCTTGTCAAGGCCATGAAAGTGCCACAAGATCTTGGTTCAACCCGCAAGTACTATTTACAGAAACTCGTAATTTTTTGTAAGGCATTTTTGTGTTCGTTTAGCTCCTTTTGTTACCCATATATGAATTTAGATATCGCCTATTAAAAAGTGTTTTTTTTTGCCATATCATCTTTCACTTCACAGAAGACACTCTTCTTTGCAGACAAGACTGCACGGTGAATCCATGGATTGCTATGAAGTTCGTCTCCCCGCAGCAGTGCCCCCTTTTCAAGGCCATGAAAGTGCCACAAGATCTTAGTTCCACTCTTAGTACTATTAAAGAAACACTAATTTTTTGTACAACGTATATTTATTTGTTAACAACATAGCAGTTATAGTGAAAATTGGTACAGCGTAGTGTTCGGTCTCGGGGTCACAGTACAAGCGCCCGCGCGTCGCGTGCTGCCGCAGCACGACCAGTGCCGCGCGCCCGGCCAGCCCGCGTGACCGTGACCGCAACCTGCCGCCATAACAATCATAATCAGAAAGGACCGTGCAAAAATGTATGGACGCTGCACCCACGTCCGCCACAGATAAAACTACATTTGTTTGAAAGGTATTATAGTCATGATCATCTGTGCCAAAGCGCATCAAATTCCATCCCGGAGGTCTTTAGTTATTTTAATTTCAATAGGTACCAGTACTATAACGAACGAACATTAATAAAACATGGGAATTAATTTAGGAAGTTAGTTCGAACTTACATAGGGGGCTCAGGTATTATGGGACTACTTCACAAAGTGCAAGGGTGCCCCCTTATGTTATTCTGCCGCGCTAGAGTAAATCCAAAAATCCCCGCATGGGTTGAGGTTTTTTCAAACATTTTTTTGGTTATAGTAAATTGTCTTCTATGTAAAACGGAGCGACCACAAATCACACAAACTTGTCCACGCTTCGGAGAAAACATGATTCCAGTTCATCCATACTAATTTACAAAACCGATAATCGTTCCAATGTCCAAAGCGTGTTAGATAAAAATCAATCAAGTGACAGGGAGCGAGTGTCATAATAAAAAAGCCTACTTTTTCATAGATCTATCGATTCATACTAATTACATTGTTGGCGGAGCTGGGTGTGTTTTGCCCATTGTCCTTTATTGTTACCTATTTGACATTATGTAATTTAAGTTAACCTCAACACATGTTTTTAAGTTTGATGTCAACATTCAATTTGACGACTCTGTATGAAATAAAACAGGGAGAAAAAGCAGCCCTTGCTGAGTTTCTTGCCGGTTCTTCTCAATACAAGGTCTCCCGCCTTAGTTTTGCGAACAGATGGCGTAGTTTTCGACTTTAACATGTGCCTGTAAAAGCCTAAACAAATGATTTTTGAATTGAAATGAATTAAAGAATATTTTACTTGAAAAAAATCCACGCAGACCAGTAGGCCTATTCGCTAACTACTTTTGACAGATAGAAGATAGAAGTGATAGTCATCGAGCTATACCGAGTGATACGCTAGTGCTTAATTATAACACCACTAAGATACTTGTTTTGAAAAGCATCGATGGATATGCAATTTTCTCTTTAGTCACTCACTGTAAATGTCGAAAAAGTTAGCGCATAAACCGGGTGGTAGTAGACGGGACCTGTCGGCGTATTCGTATTACTAAAGAGATAAATAGCCCGGTGATTATTACTTCTATCTGTATCTGTTAACAAATACTACTGGTCTGCGTGAAATTTATTCTAGTAAAATTTTCTAATCACAATAAGGATGCTGTATTGATGGTCACAAAAGACTTTTTGGGATCCTCATACAATATAAGGTTCACGCCATTGTGGGGTGCGTCCCTTCGGCCGCAGTGTGTAGTGTTTCTCATTACAGTGTAGTGGAGTGTGTCGCAGTACATTGTAGTATAGTGTGCCCCAATACAGTGTAGTGTGCCGCAGTACAGTGTAGTATAGTGTGCCCCAATACAGTGTAGTGTGCCGCAGTACAGTTTAGTGTGCCGCAGTACAGTGTAGTATAGTGTGCCCCAATACAGTGTAGTGTGCCGCAGTACAGTGTAGTATAGTGGCCCCAATACAGTGTAGTGTGCCGCAGTACAGTTTAGTGTGCCGCAGTACAGTGTAGTATAGTGTGCCCCAATACAGTGTAGTGTGCCGCAGTACAGTTTAGTGTGCCGCAGTACAGTGTAGTATAGTGGCCCCAATACAGTGTAGTGTGCCGCAGTAGAGTTTAGTGTGCCGCAGTACAGTGTAGTATAGTGTGGCCCAATACAGTGTAGTGTGCCGCAGTACAGTGTAGTGCAGTGTGGTCACGTACCGGAGTATCCACCGGGCATGAGCGCGCCGCAGCCGCAGCGCGCGTCCCTGCGGCCTCCAGAAGAGCAGAAGGCGCAGCAGTGAAACTGGCCCGTATGAGCGGCGCCAACGCGCACCGACATCGGGAATGGACTGCCCTGCCGCACCAATCAATCATTGGTAAGTCAATTCACTATCATTCAGGGACGTAGCTAGCAAGCAATTTTGGGGCCTACTTTAAAATACCATTGCCCTACCTTAAAATACATTTGCCCTACCTCAAAACGGGGTGGCAGGCTGGGAATAGCAGCACGCCCCTGCTTATGCCCTACTCGTAATTACCGCTGCTCTATCTTAAATACGGCACTGGCTATTGCCCTACTATCATTTCATATGTTAAGGGCTCTGAAAATGCTTTATATTACTCCAATGAAAGTAAATAACGGAAAGGGTCTTTTCATAAAAAATGCTTCACACAGCGATGAACAGATGTCGCAAAAGGATTTAGTCGCATGGTACTAGTATACTCTTATTGCAAGATTATGAAAGCGGACATTTTTGAGTTCGTTTAGCTCCTTTTGTTATCCATAAATTAAATTAGATATCGCCAATTAAAAAGGTTTTTTTTGCCATGTCATCTTTCACGCAGTCTCTCTTTTCTTCAGTTGAACCAACTTTGCAAACAAGCAAGATAAAAATCAGGCAATCAATTGGAAGTTAATTAAAAGACGTGTTACTTGAAAATATTTTTTGATTGATCACCTTGATAGGCTTGTTGTCGACAGTGATGGCCAGTAAGTAAGCCCCGGGAGCCCTGGGCGTGATCCTCAGGGCGTATGTCCCGTCCCCCACGTCTCTCACGTGCGCTGCTGCCGGCGCCCGCCAGCTGTCGCGACGACGGTAATACCCTGATACCTATATGTATAGAATAACCAAATACAGTGCGACCAATATCTTTATAAATGTGGCGAAAATTGGAACTAACGTCGCCGTCTTTGTAAACGTCATATTTTGTATGCCATTTACGATCATTTGCGTAGACAGTGGCGTCCTCCCTGAACTGTCACTCATGTTCATAAAGATCTTGGTTGCATTGTAAATATGACAGAACTCTTTTAGCAGCCATAGACCGACTGCTCGAGCAGTTAGCCCAGTGATAACCATCACTGGGCTAACTGCATTGCACAGACAGTGTTACCAACCCTTACCAAAATTACCCCTAAGTATTTTTTAAATTCCCCTTAAATCCCCTAAATATGGATTTTTTAAGTACCTACTTATTACCCAAATTCTTTCGTTGCTCATAAATTAAAACGTTACATATTTAGTTACAGTAAATTGTTTCATTGAATAAATACAGTTACCGAAAGGACAATCAAACGAAAATGAGCTGACAGGCTTTTAAATCTTATTTAGCTATTTTTTTTATTTTAAGACCATACATCCTTAGGAAACAACCCGCCACACAGTCAGTTCAGTCGTTTCATATCATGGTGCGTTCCATTCTACGCACAAAATTTTAAGAATAGAAAACACACGCTTTGTTTTTCGATAATATTGAAGTTTTGATAAAACCTTAAAGAACCCCCAAAAAATTCCAGACTTTAAAAAGGTCCCTTTTAACACTTCTAGCCCCTAAATCTGGGGGCAAAACCCCTAAGTTGGGAACTGTGTACACAGACCGCTCAAGCAGTCGGTGTCAACAGCTTGAAGCTGTCATTTTACCGAGCTGGCAACCGACCGAGCAGTTGTTGCAACAGCCTGAGCAGTTGTTGCAACAGCCCGAGCGGACAATGTATGTGGGTACATAGAAGACTGTAGTTCACTTTGCAGTCGCCAACCCGACTGCTTCAAGCTGCCCGTGTGTATGGCGGTTCTTAGTGAGGATCTCGATAGCTTCGATTAAATTTGGTACAGAGATAGTTTTTGTCCCAAAAATCATTCTTTAAGTTGAATTTGAACGGGAAACCAATTTAAACAAAGCTGACAAAGTCACGGGCCCACCCATTAGTAACAAATAAATATGATCAGATATTTATTATAATTATTGTTTTATTATTATGAGAAAAGAGACCAAAATTTACCATCTCTAGGTTCTCTGTTCTTTGGAAGTCACGTGCTGTATCTGCAGTCGTTAGAACTCATTAGTCCGCCCGTACTGGGCTCCCATGGTGACTCAGTTTTTGTTTTATAGATAGGTCCGACAAATGACTCCACCCCACCTGATGTTAAGTGAAGATAGCTGATACAGCAGTTCTACCTGCCACACTAGCCATCCTCACCCTGCCGGCCTGCATGTTGCTTCTTCACGCCTCTTTTAAAGGATCCCAGGTTGTAAGAGGGAAGAACACGTGAGCGGGCAGAGCATTCCATTTACGGATAGTGCGACAAAGAAATGAGTCACCAAATTTCTTTGTACGCGTTGGAATTGTGGCCACAGTTAAACGGTGACAACGTAGGCCAGCGCGCGTAGTCCTCTGAAGGAAAGGAGAGGGTGGGATAAGAGAGAATAACTCCTCAGAACACTCGCCGTGCTACAGACGATAGAACGCGCTTAGTGACGCCACGTCACGGCGTAATTGAAGAGGCTCAAGGTGTTTAGTCACCTCCTCATCGCCTATGATGCGGATCGCGCGCCGCTGTAACCTATCCAAAGCATCGAGCAAGTACTTGGCGGAGCCATCCCAGAGGTGCGAGCAATATTCCACGCAGGACCGCACTTGTGTTTTGTACAACAAGCACAGTTGATCGGGCGTGAAAAAACGCCGCACCTTGTTCAGGACTCCGAGTTTGCGTGAAGCTGTTTTGATCACGTTTTCGATGTAGTTCTTTGGATTCAGGTCTGAGCGAACTTCCATTCCGAGCATGGAAATGTTGCTCTGTAGCGGTAGTTATCTTTTGTTCAAGTGTAATTGATACCTATGTTTCTTATTGTTGTGGGCAAGTGCCGTACAGCTAGAGGAAATCAATGCCTATTACAGTTAAGCAATAATAAAATTGTTGTCCTACCAGTTCGCCCCCGCACCATATTCGCTCGTCGTTTTCATCGCGCAATTCCAAGATGGCTTCATGTTGACAATCCACTCGGAGGTCCTGTAAACCTGAAAATTACACAAAGCTCTGAAATCGAAGTTTAGTGAGCATGAATATGAATTGATCCCAAGTCATGGTTGTTTATAAAGCTACTTATTTATGTTTTTTAAGATATTTAGAGTCCGCAGAACAAATTTTTAGTTTGTGTCCATTAAGCTGTGAGTTCTGTACCCCTAGCACGAACCATTATCGAATTCGAATAGTTTCCAAACAGAAATGTCAATGTCAAATTTTGTATGGAAACTTGAACAGCAGCGGCACAAAGTACGTAACGAGAACTAAAAATCAGTACACATTTGACAATGACATTTTGGACTCGCAAACGATACGAATTCGATATTGGTTCATGCTAGGGGTACAGAATTTGTTGTTATTGGCTTTGGTACTAAATACGCGAAAATTAGCCTTCAATAAGTTCTGTCGTTGTGAATTATTGTTTGTCTGGCGATAATTTGACACACTAAAAGAGATTGTAGGACTTGTGGAAGACGATAAATTTGTATGTGTAGCTGAAGGAGCATACTTAATTCAAAAATTTCGAACGCAAATTGTAGCGCATTTTAGTAGGAACCAAAACTTCGTACCGCAGGTGTGGGATGAGCATGAATGTGTCTCCAATTACATTTTTTGTATCTCAAATGGGGCTGATCACGGCTACATACAATACAACATAAGAACCATGTAACTTTTAACTAGTGTACTTATTTATGATTTTATTTATTTTTTAAGCATTAGTTAGATGTTTAAATCTAAAAAAAAGGTTACTAGAAAAAAAAATCCACGCGGACCAGGCAGCGGACGGGACTCGAACCCGCATCCTTCGCTATCCGGGCGAATGCACTGACTATTATGCTACCACGGCCCTATTAGCCGCGTCGAAATTTTCCTAGCCTTAAGCTGCAAGGCAGCGCCATCTCTTCGCATTATTGCAGGTAACCCACAATGTCAAATGAATACCTGTAAGAATAAATAGCAATTATAGTTATGACATAACTATAATTGCTATTTCTTCTTTCAAAAAAGGCTAGGAAAATTTCGACGCGGCTAATAGGGCCGTGGTAGCATAATAGTCAGTGCATTCGCCCGGATAGCGAAGGATGCGGGTTCGAGTCCCGTCCGCTGCCTGGTCCGCGTGGATTTTTTTCTAGTAAACTTTTCTTTGGTGTACTTATCACAAATAAAGTACCTATTTGATTTGACTTACCATCGGTGTTGAGCCGGCAGTGCATAGCAGATGGCGCGCGAGTCAACAGTCGGCCCACCAAGCGCGGGTCTGCGGCAACCGGCGCGTGAGGCGCGAACCGCACTTCCCACTGCAGCCCCTGGCCTATCCCCTCCCCTGTGTCGCCCCCTGCCCCTGCCTCAGACACTTGTTCCAGTCGCCGCGATACGGCGTTTGACAGTGACAGCAGCTCGTCCTCCCGAGCCTCGGACAACACCTGCACATACAGCCCTGTGCAATAACGTGTGACTCGGCGATGAATTATAGATCTAACTGTGATGCCCTATCCCCTCCCCTGTGTCGCCCCCTGCCCCTGCCTCAGACACTTGTTCCAGTCGCCGCGATACGGCGTTTGACAGTGACAGCAGCTCGTCCTCCCGAGCCTCGGACAACACCTGCACATACAGCCCTGTGCAATAACGTGTGACTCGGCGATGAATTATAGATCTAACTGTGATGCCCTATCCCCTCCCCTGTGTCGCCCCCTGCCCCTGCCTCAGACACTTGTTCCAGACGCCGCGATACAGCGTTCGATAGTGACAGCAGCTCGTCCTCCCGAGCCTTGGACAACACCTGCACATACAGCCCTGTGCATGTGACTCGGCGATAAATTATAGATCTAACTGCGATGCCTTATCCCCTCCCCTGTGTCGCCCCCTGCCCCTGCCTCAGACACTTGTTCCAGTCGCCGCGATACGGCATTCGACAGTGACAGCAGCTCGTCCTCCCGAGCCTCGGACAACACCTGCACATACAGCCCTGTGCAGTAACGTGTGACTCGACGATAAATTATAGATCTAACTGCGATGCCCTATCCCCTCCCCTGTGTCGCCTTCCGCCTCTGCCTCAGACACTTGTTCCAGTCGCCACGATACGGCGTTTGACAGTGACAGGAGCTCGTCCTCCCGAGCCTCGGACAACACCTGCACATACAGCCCTGTGCAGTAACGTGTGACTGTTAATTATTATTATGTGAATTATTTGCACTTCATTCATTCAGGGATTCCTGAGGAAGTAACCGCTACAAAAACGGGAATCCCTCAAGCGTATTGGACGCGTTCAGATAAAAGAATATTAGTACCGCGTAAAAAGACTAGATGGCTGTAGTGTTTTGATCTTGATGAAATTATACCTACATACTACTAAGTACATTATTAAGTCTTGTTAAGCATTTGATCAGGGGAACGCGGAGGCATTTGGGGACCCCCCAAGGTCGGAGGCCCGGGGCGGGCCGCCCCTTCCGCCCCCCTGTTAGTCCGCCACTGCTGCCTAGACCTCCTCATTAAGACAGTAGGATTTGAGGACTTCAGGGTTGGCTGGGCAGGTCAATGGGATAATGGAGGAGGAGTTTCAACCTTCCTCTCACAAAGCTACAAGCAAGTGCAGCCCCTGTCCTATCTCCTTTCCCCTGCCTCAGACAGTTGTTCCAATCGCCGCGATACGGCGTTCGACAGTCACAGCGGCTCATCCTTCCGAGCCTCGGACAACACCTGTCCATGCAGTCCTGTACCTCATTAACACAGTAGGATTAGAGGCAGGGCCAGATTTAGAGGTGTGGAGGCTCCTAAATTCCAATCCTCAATCCAAATTCAACGCTTTTCCAATCCTCCTAATGTTATAAATGTGAAAGTTTGTATGTATCACGCAAAAATTACTGAACGGTTTTGAATGAAATTTGGTACGCATATAGTTATGACCTGGATTGAGACATGAGATAGGTATTCTTTTTTTATCGCGGAAAAGTGTTAGGTTCCTTGAGGGAATTTCAAAAAACTAAAGTTAACGCGGACGAGGTCGCGGGCGGCCGCTAGTATTATATTAAAATAACCCTCGAGAATTTGGTGATCACACGGCTCCGTCCACTTCCTCAAGGAATGCGGACGCGAACTTTCCTTCTAAGATACAAAAACCGTCTTTATTTCATGAGAAGAGAAGAATCTTAGGGAAGTATACGTTCTATAAAACCACCAGCTTACCTTCCCAGCGAACTTGACAGCGTCATGAGAGTCATGAACCCAGCCCAGGGGGATTTAATTTAAGTACTTTCAATATTTAATATACCACGACTATATGACCCCCCCCTGGCGCCAAAGCTGGATCCGCCCTTGGCACGCGGTGCCACAGAGCGCACGGTACTGCTCCGCCCCTGATCTTAGGGAAGAATACGTACTATAAAGCCAACAGCTTACCTCTTCAGGAAACTCGACAGCTTCGAGTTTAGCTTAGCTCAGTCCTGAAGCTCCCGCACGCGTTGCTCAGCGCTCAGGCAGTGTCTGTGGCATGCGCGGACTACACAGATAGACAACTTATTGTGAAATGAACTCAACACCACATCTCACCTCATCCCACCGAACTTGACAGCGTCCACCGCGTGCTTGGCGCAGTCCTGCAGATCTCGCACGCGTTGCTCGGCGCACAGACGGTATCTATAGCATGCGCGGACTACACGGATGGACAAGTTTTTCATAGTGAGCATTGTGAAGTGAAGTGAACACCATATCTCACCACCTCGGTGGACTTGACAGCGTCCGTCGCTTGCTTGGCGCAGTCTTGCAGGTCTCGCACACGTTGCGTGATGCGCAGGCGGTACATAAAGCACACGTAAATAAAGTCAATATCAAAGCTTACTTTCTCGGCGAATATCACAGCATCCACCGCGTTCTTGGTGTAGTCCTGCAGCCCGCGCACTCATTACTCTGAGCGCAGGCGGTACTTATAACACACGTAAATGAAGTCAATATCATAGATTACCTCCTCGGTAATTATCACAGTATTCACCGCGTGCTTGGCGCAGTCCTGCAGGTCTCGCACACATTGCTCGACGCGCAGGCGGTATTAATAGCACGCGTCGTCACAAATGGCTTTTTTTTCATATTCAGTATTGTGAAAGAAATCAACACCATATCTCACCTCCTCAGCGAACTTGACATCGTCCACCGCATGTTTGGCGCAATACTGCACGGACGCTCAGACGGTGTCTATTGCATGCACGGACTACACGGATAGACAAGTTTTTCACATCCAGCTTTGTGAAATGAAGTTAACACCATATCTCACCTCCTCGGCAGACTTGACAGCGTCCGCTGCTTGCTTGGCGCAGTCTTGCAGCGCAGGCGGTACTGTTAACACACGTAAATGAAGTCAATATCATAGCTTACCTCCTCGGCAAATTTCACAGCATCCACGGCGTGCTTGGCGCAGTCCTGCAGGTCTCGCACGCGCGGCGCTCAGACGGTGTCTATTGCATGCACGGACTACACGGATAGACAAGTTTTTCACAGCCAGCTTTGTGAAATGAAGTTAACACCATATCTCACCTCCTCGGCAGACTTGACAGCGTCCGCCGCTTGCTTGGCGTACTGTTAACACACGTAAATGAAGTCAATATCATAGCTTACCTCCTCGGCAAATTTCACAGCATCCACGGCGTGCTTGGCGCAGTCCTGCAGGTCCCGCACGCGTTGCTCGGCGCGCAGGCGGTGCCGCTGGCGCGCGTCAGCTGCAGCGAGGCAAAGCGCGCGCGCGTGAGCCTCTACCGCGCGCCGGTACTGCTCCGCCCACGCGGCAACCTCGCCCTCCACGCGCGCCGCTTGCGACTGCATCGATATCATTTTGAGGATCGATGTCCCCCTAATGCGTGTTGGGAGTGCGGGTGATGTAGCGGCACTATTTTACCGAATGGCCGCACATCTGCAAGGTGATTGAACGAACCCACCTCTTTGAAGATGCCGCGGAGCATTAGGGGCATCTACATCCAGAGAGCTTGAGCAATGCGAGCCATTGCGACTGCGACAACATCAGCCTGTGAATACTGGACGACATCCATGTTGTGTGTGGTAGTATGTAAGCCGTAATCTAAGTAAGTCTGTAAGGCTAGTATTAAACCTTTTATCTTTTATTATCCATTGGAAGACTCAGATGTGTAGATGGGAAGAACAGATTAATAAGTACAAACTAATAATAACAGGGTATAAAGTCCAGGTTAACTAAAAGTGGCTCAACTTCTTGAACACTGTTTTTTGTGTACTTTTCACTCCATGAAACATGTTTATCCTCCTGTCGCTTTGTAGAGCATTGACTGATTTGAACATCTAGCAGGTAAATGCTTAAAAACCAAAATATAATAGTGGTGTCGATTCTAGCATGATTCTCTAAACCTAAAGTTAATTTTACAGCAGTATATCCTTGTCATTCTCTATACAGAATGAAAAGGAGAGACTGATGTTAAATTTAGTTTTAAGTATAGAGAATCATGCCAGAATTGGCACCAATGTGTAATTTATTCCGTATCGACATAAAACTCACGTCAGCTTCGTAGGCTTGCGAGTTGATAATTCTTATAGCCCGCTCGACGTGTTCGGGCACGTGCCTCGCTCGCTCGCACGCGTCGCTCAGCTGCCGCGCGCGCTCGCCCGCCGCTCGCGACGCGTTGGACAGCGCGTGCCCCGAGTGCGACACTATGCAGCAGTCGCGGCATATCACCTGCGCAGATGATGGCACTCATGACTGGATTGGACACTGGGTGATCGAGAGTGGAACAAAAGGGTTATTGACAAGTTTTAGAAAACGATCTCACGTTATTGACTAATGTTTATGGAGTCCGTAAAAAGTGGATATTCATCATTCTGTTGTGTATTTCAGTAAAAATAAAGTTGCCGCGAAAACTTCTGTCTGCTTACCACGGTTATGTAGCGTCTATTATAAATTACGGGATTCTTTTGTGGGGTAATAGTACAGACATTCAAAGAGTTTTCATTGCCCAAAAGAAATGCGTGAGAGCTATATGTGGTAAAGGTCCCTTGGATAGTTGTCGACCACTTTTTATAAGTTTAGGTTTACTCACAGTCCCTGCTAAATATATATTAGAAATATTTAAATTTGTCAGCCAAAACCCGGGGTTATTTCATAAGGCCAAAGATATATACCCCCGAAACACTAGAGATGGTGATAGATTTGTTTTGGACTTTGCACCAAAAACCTCGGTGTACCAGAAAAGCTCGTATAACATGTGTATTAAGGTATACAATAGAATTCCAAATCAATTCAAGCACGGACCTATAAAATTAATGGCAAAAAAGTTACGGGACTGGTTAATAAGTAAATGTTTTTATAGTACAAATGAATTTTTATTATGAATTAATAATTGTAATTTTGATGACATAATGAAGAAATGGCTATTGACTTAATAAAATTGATATGTATTATATGATTATTATGTGTAATATAATGTATAGTTATTATGACATTTGGAATGCAACTATAACTCAATTTAAATTTGAATTTTTAGATATTTTATTAGTATTTTGTATGCTCTTTCAAGGGCGAAACATATGGAACTTTTTAATATTGTTTACCAGCTGTAACAAACTATTTTTCATGCAAATAAACTTTCATTTCATTTCATTTAACGTTTCTCTGGACAATATGGCGTCTTACTAGTAAGTGACGTCACAAGAATGTTATTAAAACGTCAAACGATACAATGTAATGTCACTTTAATCGGAACTTTACTTGCGTGTGACGTCATTTTAGGCTCCGCCAATTGCGTTTTGGGTCACGTGACAATGGATAAGAAAACTATTATCTTTTTCGTGGATTTTTAGTAAAATTATGAACATTTTTTTGTAAAAATAGTATAAACCCCTGCCAATATTCATTCTAAACACAGATGCTAACAACTGGCACTTTATTTTTAATACTTTCAAATACCCTATTAGGCTTCCTATTCTAGAATTCTATGCAACTTAGAGAGCTAACTGCCAGCGCTACGTTGGACAGCACGTGCCCCGATTGAGATACTGATACTGGAATGGTTCCCATCATTTCTCGTTTCAAGATCAAACTAAGTGATCAGGAGTGGAACAATTAGTCTACAAGAATATTAGAGAGCGAGTATTGATAATATTAGGGACTTGGAGCGCGACGCGTGGACAGTGCACACAGGCATATCACCAATACAGAAATAATGGGACTCATGATCATAGTCTGAATAATTGAGAGTGAAACTGTTGAACAAACTGTCGCCGCGTGCCCGGAGTGCGACTGTATGCAGCAGTTGCGGCATATTACCTATGCAGAGATGCTGGGACTCTGATGAAGAGAACTATGTTTGTGATCACCTGCTGACATGTAGCACAGTAGTCGCTGAGCTCAGCACGCGGGTGCTAACTGCAGTGGCGCACGGACAGTAAGTCCAGCGGCCTTAGAGAAGGATTGAATAGCCTGTGATGTTAGTCTTATGAAGAGAACTATGTTCGTAATATTTGTGATTACCTGCTGACATGTAGCACAGTAGACGCTGAGCTCAGCACGAGGATGCTGACTACAGTGACGCACGGGCAGTAGATCCAAGGGTCTTAGAGAATGTCTTGATGTGGCCTTGTGACGCACGTGGGCTTCACTGCAGGACGAGCAAACGCTGACCAGGCATTGATCGCATTTACTTTCTGCCTGGAACCATCAAGCTGTTAATTACTTATCTGGAGCGTCATGCTAAGAACTCACGGCGGCGGGCGCAGATCTGTTTAATTTTAAAACTCAAGAGACTGTAGCCAACGCGGCTGCGAATTTTGTAATGAACTGAATTGGTGCAATATTGCTAAAATGTGTGTCAATTTTACGAAAATTAGAGGATTTGCTTGAAATCTGCAAGGAATTCTGTAAATAAATTACTTTTCGCAATATTGCACAATTTTGCCTTTTCCGATCCCCAGACAGAACTCTTCGCGTTTACGGGTGATCGGGTCCCTCGCGCGCCCGTAGCGGGTGCCGCAAACACCCGCGCGCTCTGCGGGCGCAAATCGCGCCGTTATTTCTGCTTGTGGGTGTTTACCTACAATTTCCGATTTCACGCGATTTGCGGTCTCGTAAACGCGGCGGGCGCGGGATTAAATCACGCCGTGAATTCTTAGCCGCAAGGCGCAATATAGCAATAGCAATCCCGATAGGCGATTGGACACTCGGTGAGGAAGGCGCCTAAGGTAAATAAATAATAAGGTAAGTACTATAAGGAGGATGTCTCAAAATGGACATGACACTAACTGCTGATAAGTACTTTGTTGTTTTTGAACTAGGGTCAGTTCGCCTGTTCGCGTCCATTTAGTGCAGTTGCAAAGTTTGACGGCGATAATAAAAATATCCCAGCTCTAATTACTATGAAAAATTTATGTAATGTGTTCATTATTCTATTTTAAGATTAACTTTCAATTTTGTTCGAAACATCTATTGTTTTTTATTTAAATAGATAAACTTCGGAATAAGGCGTTTTACCCACTTTGCGTCCACAAAATCCAAATTGCGTCCACACGTGGACCATTTAGCGTCCACCACCTTAGAAAAGGAATATAGGGGTGATATTTATAGAATTTGTATAGAAAGATTGTACCTATTTTAACAATTTCTTTATTTTAGAATATAAATATTAAAACCAATATTATTATCATTAAAATTATCAAAATTTAAAAAAATAAAAAATATTCTTCTCAATATTGATTGAATTTAAAATTATATAAGTAGTAGATAAATAATGATTGCATCTTTAAGAATAAACAGTAATCAGTTTTGTTAATTTTACCCTAAAATCACAAGGTATGTTTTTCTCATTGTCGTCTTCTACATCTGAAATTAGTATATCGTCACATTCAGAAAAAAAATCTTTCTTAAATTCCTGATTTACCATTTCCTGTGTGACTTCTTGAAGAGCATCTTCGACCTTCTTCTTTCTTTTTGGAGCAGTTTTACGAACCGTTTGAGATTGTTTTAAACTCTGTTCTTGTTTCTCTATCCGTTCTAACTTTCTTTTTCGTATTGCTTCCTGCTTTTCATTCTTGATCTGCTCTTTATCTTCTTAATACTGGATACATGGAGTACATGCAGCAGAAGATATGGTTGCTAGAGTTCTTTGATTATCTTTTCGTGCTTTGTTAGACATTTCGGGTAGCATCAGGTGGTGTCTGGTCCCGGTTTCTTTACTTCATTTGGTCTGCGCCCACTGATTTTGTACAATATGTCTATGTGTCTTACCGATTTATTATTTTCTCGAATTTCTTTTAACGCTTTCTTTAAAGCGTCTTCTGTGTATATTCTCTTTTCCTTCTACTTTCTTGTCTCCGAAGAACTCATCTCAAATAGAAAAAAAATAAGAATGAAACAAATAAAGTATTTGATTGATTGATTAAAATTACTCATTTCATTTAAAAATAGCATTAAAAACACGTAGTCTTAATAAAAATGTATAATAATAATAATCAATACTTATATTTTAAATTATAATTAATTAATTGTATTTAACGAAAATAGTGGACGCAATTTGGTTTAATATTATCCCCTGTAGGTTTAGTTTGCGTCCATTGCGGATGCAAATTGGAAGTTTTGTAATTTCGATGTAGTAATTCGCGTCCACCTTATTTTATTTATTAAATATAAAAAACATAAGAAAATTTATAATTAATATCATTCCTTTCTTCATTATAAAAGTCTAGAAACAGCTATGTATCCTTAAATTAACATAAAAAAATAAAAATCTTACCATCGAACGCGCCGCTGCACACTATTTTTTATCTAAACATCCCGCGTGTACGCACTCCCTTGATGAATAACCGAGACTAATTTTTTTTTTAAACGGGATTGTTTGGCGCACCTACTTTTTGACCATGCGTTCGTGCCTCTTATATATTAAGGTATTAGCGGTAATTACTTTTTGTTTGATTGGTGTGTTAGTTTACTTATTAATGAGGATTTTTTAAGGGAGATCCGTAAAATGGACGCGAATTGGGCGATGGACGCGAACAGGTGAACTGACCCTACTAAATATGCAACCGAGACCAAAGGATGTTTATGTCTCACTTAACACGGAGGAGCTGGTGACACATTACCATATTCAGTAAAATATGAAGCTGTTCTCTTGCATTTAAGGAATTTTGGTACGAGCATTTTTTAAACTTCTTCGTACGCCGTTATACGAAATCAAGGAAGTTTTCAAACTCCTTTCTTGACGCATTTCAAGGGAGAATGAACAACAAATACTTCTGTTTACACTTAATAACTCGTGAAACGATTATTACCGCTCCAAAGAATTCTTACCGACGAAACATAATCAACATTTACGAAGCGCTAATGAACGGGAATTATCAAAGGAGGCGGGCGAGATAGAAAAATCATCCCGTAAGAGCTATTTAAAAACATGACGCGTAAACCACAAAAGAATATGTGAAACAAACAGCAAACGGGCCGTAACGAGACGAATGGGAATTTGGTGAAATCGTTCGCGCTTAGCCGATATGCGCGTACGCATGAGTTGACTCGCACGTGCTGGCATTCTTAAAATATCCCAGCATTTGTATAACGATAACTGTATGTTTTAAGGTGACTACAGGTTTTCTCAAATTTCGAAGATTGTTGAGAAACTTGGCACCTATATTTCTATTATGGATGTCAACTTCTTATCCGCTAGTGTCGATGTGAATAAAATTACTCATAGAAGATGTTAAAGTGTAAATGGTTAGGCATCAGACTAACTTCATCATAATGAATTTTATAAACCCTTAAAAAGCATGCGATGAAAAATGCTAACTACTTTTTCATCATCAGCCTATTAAGGTCCCCACTGCTGGGGCACAGGCCTTCTCTATGAATGAAATAGAGTTTGGGCCGTGACCCACCACGCGGGCCCAGTGCGGATTGGGGGGGTGCTAACGACTGCAGTTGCAGCCGGGACCAACGGCTTAACGTGCCTTCCGAAGCACAGAGGAGCTCGAGATAGTACATTTTTGGTCACCCATCCAATGACCGACCACTGCGAAAGTTGCTTAACTTCAACGATCGCAGCCGAACGCGTTAACCACTTGTGCCATTGAGCTCCTCGACTCTACTACTTTTTACCAAAGCGTAAATTTACTTCTGCCTGTCGTAGAATTTCTTGGGAAAGTTTAATTTACATACACACATCAAAAGTGTCTAGGGATCAACATATATTTTTGCAATAACTTTTCTCCTGATTGATATTAATTAAAATTTTCTTTAAGGATTCATCAAATAAAGTGTTTTCGTTTGTCTCAGTAACGATAAACCAAGTCACCTTTGCATTAATAAAGAAATTTGCCATTTTCCTAATAAAGGGATTTTTGACATTTGAACCACTAACACAAAAGTTCGAAAAAAAGACTGAAATAACAGTTTTCTCTAAAATTTTATTGGGTAACTTAAACAATTAATAATCCGTATTTCTACCGCGAACACTAACAACACAAGAACATCGGTTTGGCATACTCAAAATGAGTTCATCCAAATCACGCTGTGGAATGGCCGCCCATGTTCGTTGCAACAACAAAAAAAGGTCTTCTTGCGACTGGATACCCTCCATATTCGGCAGAGCTCTTCTCTGTAGCATATCCCATGCATGCTCAATCGGGTTCAAGTCTGGCGACTGAGCAGGCCAGGGCAGGACATTGATGTTAGCTGCGGCGAGAGTCTGTCTTACAACTCTTGCGGTGTGCGGTCGTGCATTATCATGCATTAATTGAAATAAGGGACCGATTTGCACTTGTAGAGGAACGATGACGTCTGATACAATCGTCTCAGCATAAATTTGAGCGTTGAGGTTGCCTCTGATCCAAATCAACTCAGTTCTTCCGCCGATCCAAATACCCGCCCATACCATGATGGTTCCACCACTATAAGGATGGACTTCCTGGCAGGATTTTAATCGCTGTTGGCGTCCAGGGGTTCTCCAGTGTCGTATACGTCTTGTATCCGGTCTCATACCAAAACGAGACTCATCAGAAAAGCACACGAAACGCCATTGTTCTTCTGCCCAATTTCTGTGTTCAAGAGCCCATTGATATCGAATCCTACGATTGTGCATTGCTATAGGTGGTACCCGTAGCGGTCTTCGGGAATGAAGGTTCACTTCATGCAAACGGTTTCTGACTGTTTGGTCGCTAATTAAGTTCCCTGAAGAGTGATGAAGCCTCACGGCTAACATCATGGCGGTTATTGTTGGAGCTCTTCGAGTTAAGATTTGAATGTATCGGTCTTGTCTCCGTGTGGTGCAGCGATACCGTCCTCCATGGCGCTTAGCCACGGTACCAGTGCTTCGGTATCGTGTCCAAAGTCGACTGATAACACTCTGACTTGTATTCAGAGCTAAAGCCACAGTACGTTGCCGGGAATCAGCTTCTATCATTCCCACGGCTCTGAGCATTTCTTCCCTGCTTAAATGACGTCGCCGCTCCATAATAACGTTGGTTTTAATCAGCAGTAGGGAAACAGTAGCACTAATAATGTCTTCAATGCGTTGTATGTTTTTATAGGGAAAATATTGACAGCTGATTTTCATCTTTTACTCGAATTTGATTCACAGTTCCTGATTCAAATTATGAAATGCACCAAAAAGGATCCATATAAATTTATAAAATCATAAATTTATTACAAAGCCACATCTCAATCTCAAGAAATCCGCATAAAAATGCTTGATCCCTAGACACTTTTGATGTGTGTATATCCTTTCTCAAACAAAAGCCCACCTTATTGTCACTATTGCATAGATCACAGAGTACATTTGCACTATCATCCCTTCCTGCCGCCACCATCTTCCTCAGCAGGATGTAGTTCAGAGGCAGGGCTGCTATACCCCCGATCGGGAGAGGCGTCTCGTGGCTGCATGTTGGACACAACAGGAATTGGACGCTTTTGCCTGACACCTGCAAACAAGCACTGGCTTTAAAAAATATACCTATATCCAAAAAAACCATGAATAAGCTCGATGGATCAGGTCAGTAATCTCCCATCGGCTGCTCTACAGATTAGGACTAGTAACGAAATAAAACAACGAATTTTCCTCGTAGAAAGTAAAGCTTATACACCAAGGCATAGCAAGGCAAGACAGGGCAAGGATAATTTCAGAAAGTATACTTCTTCTTAGATTGATCTTCTTCAATGATTTGCCTTATTTTGTAAAGGATAACCATGAAATAGTATTGTTTGCGGATGACACTTCACTTTTGTTTATAATTAAACGTAGGCAGTCGCAAATTGACGACGTGAACAAGTCTATTTCTAGGGTAGTCCACTGGTTTAACGTTAATAATTTACTGCTAAATGAAGGGAAAACTAAGTGTTTGAAATTTGTTTTACCTAATGTTAAACAGGTAAAAACGAATGTAAATATAAAGGATCGAAATGTGAGCCTTGTAGATACCACAGTGTTCTTAGGAATCACACTAGATTTAAAGTTGCAATGGGGCCCACATATTGATAAATTGCCGAAGTAGGCTTGTTGAAAATATATCGATGTATCGATATATCGATATTTTTTGTTCGATATATCGATATTTTTTGCCGATATATTTGGATTCGATATATCGATACATCGATACAAAATAAACAATATCGAAATTCGTATCAAAAACGATATTTTTTTAATTATTAGCGGCATATCACGGTCTAACTAAATTCGTATCTGAAAAAATCGTAACTGTATCTCAGATTAAAGATATTCAACATATCTCTGATCTGTGCTGTATTTAGTATTGTCTATGTCATCATTCGAAAATAGGGTCTATTTTTAGGGAGATAATTTTCGTTCCATTATTATTCCGCGTGTCATATTTTTGGGAAAATTGGTCCGATATATCGATGTTTTTTTCGCGATATATCGAAGCCGATATTGATATTTTTTAAAAGATCGATGTATCGATATATCGATATTTTTTTCATTTTTCGACATCCCTATGCCGAAGAGACTTAGTTCTGCAGCGTTTGTTACTTCTTCACGTCTAAACGGCTGGAGCGATTTTAATAAAATTTGGTATGGAGTTAGCTGACACCCTAGATTAACACATACGCTACTTTAATCTCGAAAAAATTATGGTTCCAGAGGGATTGTCAAGAAACTAAGTTAACGCAGACAAAGTCGCGGGCGATCTCTAGTATCTAAATAAATGAAGGTAGATATATCTATAAATAATATTTATTTAGTAAGAGTTACAGAAAATCATGTTTGACGGAATCGTTCACCATTACAAGTTCTATTAAAGTCCGCGACAGCTTATGTCTATCTTATATGGGTCACCGACCCATGGTAACGCACTATACCTATAGTTCATTATATAATACTTGTTAAATCAGGTTTTAAATTGCTCTATTTGTTGTGTAATTAGCTTGGATTAAAATAATTCGAAACAAAAAGGGAAGATACGGCACTCGCGGCTCAAGAGTGATCAGCTTAAATTGTGGTGCGTGACCACAATTCGCTTAAGTCACAATTGGACATTCAAACACGATGCATGTGCACTCAATATAACAATATTTCCTATATTCTGTGTTATAAAGATAAAACAATGCCTTCAATGCTTTTATAAAGAACACAAATAGTTCAAAATCAAATAAGAAATGCATCAGCAACACCTTTCATCCGTAAAACTGTAAAATATTTTTTCTCAACAACCACGATTTGTCGTGAATCTAATTTACGTAATCGCCATTTTGTTATTAAGAAAAGGACAACAATACAGGTCAGCCGTGCGAATTCGGACGCGGACTCGCCGTTTCGCTCGCGCTGCATTGAAGCGTACAGTTCTGTCGCTCGCTCGTTTGAATTTTTATATACGACGTGCGTGTGTGAGAGTTGCTTATGTAGTCGAATCTGAGCATATTTTATTTGATGCTAGTATGACCGTCCCTTCCCTTTTTGATTGAATCTAAGATAATATGGTATGGCAGCAGCTACTGAATTGTCTGTCTATCTATGGTAATTGTCGATTTTTCGACGTTGCCGTAAGAGACCATTCTTGGTCAGTCTTCCTCAATTTGGTTTTTAGTGTATAAGAGTCTGGCGTTACTTTTAATCCGGTTCTAGTCCAAGTCCCTCTCTGCTTCTCGGAAGCGACCCTCGTGTTTCAGGTGTTACATAAAAAAAATCACTACAGTTATAAGAAGCGGCAAACTTCTTGAGCAAAATACCAGAGCCAAATGAACTTGCGCTGTAGACGTTTTTATATGTAAATTTGTTATTGCGCAGCCTTTCTTGTCTATGGTCGTTGCTTCAGAAATTTGCCGGGGTGTAGAATAGAATAGAATAGAATAGAATAGAATAGAATAGAATAGAATAGAATAGAATAGAATAGAATAGAATAGAATAGAATAGAATAGAATAGAATAGAATAGAATAGAATAGAATAGAATAGAATAGAATAGAATAGAATAGAATAGAATAGAATAGAATAGAATAGAATAGAATAGAATAGAATAGAATAGAATAGAATAGAATAGAATAGAATAGAATAGAATAGAATAGAATAGAATAGAATATATTTTATTAACCCTCATACAGATATTACACATTTACATATACAAATTCAAAAAACACAGGACTAACCAGGACTCTGCCTCAGCATTAGCTGATGCGACATAGTGTCACACCAGCGCTGTTATTCTGGTAGAGCCTGTTTAGTGACACAAAAAAAGATATGTTAATTATTTTTTTATTACTTGAAAGAATGTATGGACTTAGCATCCTTTGCTTTCATATCGTGTAAACCTACCCGCCTGCTAAAAATGCCGTATTTGCGCTGCCCCCGGTCCCAGCTGGCATCGGAGCCGGAGTGGCGCGGGTCGCTCTCGTAACCGGAGCCCGCGGAGCCGGCGCACGACTGCGCCCGCAACTCGCTGCCCTCCAGCTGTTGGACGGATCCTGGAGCATTCAGTTCAATTCATTTATTCCATAAGAATATAATTGTGTTGGAAATAATAATAATACAAAATAAAAGCAGACATAAATAAAATAATAAATCAAAATACAAATTCACGATGTCAAATTGGATAATATTCATATAAAAAGCATGTCGACCCAATCCTGTATCATAAATTCGTCAACACTGTAAAGATCTAGAACAAAAAAAAATTAAAAAAAAAAACTTCCTCTGGTAATTTCGTGAGCTTTCTACCACTGAACCACCTATGCTTTGAAAAAGTCTATAATTTTTTAACAAAAATTTAAAATGTAATGCGACATGCTAAGCGTTGCCAGGCGTACGATAATAGCCGAACATAGTTAGGCTTTTTGATTGCGTGTCCGGCAAAAATAAACGGTGTCCAGCTTTTATTAGGCTTTTTACATTTCGTAAACAAACGAGCGCCGAGCATGCCGAGCGCAAGCTAGTTGACTGTCGTTAGTTTTTACATACAATTTTTTTGTTGTACTTATTATTATTGAGCCAAAAAATCCTCAATAATGTTGGGTGTTCGGCCTTTATATCCAAATGTCCGGCCAAACTGCTTGGTTTGTCCGGCCATTAGGTTTGGCAACCTGGCAAACCTAGACATGCAAAAGATGCAAGAAAAAATTGCAGCTATGTAATAAAAGTTTCACTTTAAAAGTTACAATCAAGAACGAGCAGTCGTACATATGTTGTAGGGCTTGTATTGCTAGCTTGCAGCGTAGTCTTTCAGTGTTTCCCCCCCCTTGTAGTTCTGTCCTGCAAAGAGGGGGGCGGCGGAGGAGCGGACGGGGGGCGGTACGGTGGGCACTTACAGTCCGCGTATTCAGACCCCATGCGCGGGCCATCCTGCGCCCGTCGGCGGGGTCTCTGCGATACCCCGGGAGACCCCTGCCGTGGAGCCCCGGCTAGGCCGGGAGGCTGCTAGGTGCGGAGACGCGGAAGAATCCCTAAACGGGGATCCCGCGGCTTCGCGCTAAGCAGCTTAGAGGGTATTCGCAATGTTTATAGCGGATATTATGCCGTAAAGCGCCCGTAAGAGTTACGGAGTCCTCAGTGGTCCACTGCTGGGGCTTGTAAGGCTTGCGGGAGCCAGGTGTGAGGTCCGTTCGGCGGTGTGCCTCTTAAAGGCGCCGTCGTCTGTAAACAGTATTTTTTGCCTACGTATAAAAAAAAAGGTAGTATTTCAGTACCATTTACTCGTTTCGATGCTTCACTTCTTGTAAGTTCTACTATAAGTCGCGGCACGAAACTCTAGCGCTGACCGTTATTGCGCAGAAGTAAATATTAAGATGTCTTGGGGGAAACGAGGGGCGCGGGTGGGAGTGCGTTGCGCCGATTGGCTCTCCAGTCGCACCCATGCGCAGCTATCCCCTCCGCGTTTTGTGCAGCGCTAGAGTTACGTGCCGCGACATGTATACCTACTACATTACTACTCGTAGCAATGCGCCTGTCCTGGAAATTCATCTCAATAGTTACTCCAAAAATACAGAAGTTTCAATCTAAAGGAATAATCATTAAACGAAGTGTAGAGATATACATACTTCATACACATAACTTCATTTACCACTTTTCACACAAATTTCTTCAAAATATACGATGTTTTTGGGCAAAGTTTCTGAGGTTTTCAAACCCAGTAGTTTTGACTGTACGCTGTTCGATCATTCTTTCAGTCAGTTTTATTGAATAAATATGAATGAGTAGTGAAAAATACAAAACTGGCAAAGTCGATGATGTAATTAGTGTTTTTACATGTTGGCAGGCTATAATAATATTTAGCGGCGAGTGTAAGATATTTCGGCGTGCGGAAGAAGCGTGCCGCCTTAGTCATTTTGTATCGGATGTGGGCAATGAAAATAGTCGAAATACGTCGACCTTGCCTGCATTTATGATTCACACTTACATTCATTCTGTTTACCTCACTCTTTCGCGTTTCGCTTCTTCTTAGTTGTGTTGTATACTCGACGACTTCCGTTACAAATTTTCTTCTGCTTTATTTCTATTCATTCATTGATCGTTAATTCAAGGTCGAAGTCAAATTTTCTGTATTCAAATTGGATGCTTAATCCAACTCTTTTGAATCACCAAAAATTTTTCTTCTATCCCCAACGATAACAACAAAATGTCTCTCCCTAGGACAACCCGCAGAGCACGACCGAGAGAGGTAAGAAGGGCGATCAGAGACCGTTTTACGGCAACCGATGTCGTCAGCTCGACTCCACTTCACTTCCATCTAATAGATAATAGCCAATTAAACGACGGAACATCAAGTAATCAAACCAATCGGCGCTCACACCCGAGAGCAATGACTCTTTCAGAACCAAGTTCTGATTGAGTTATGAGCATTTGCTCACACATAACTGTCTCTTCTAAACTCTTAAAAAAATCATAACGAGTTCGCTATTTAGCTAACAAATTTAAAAAGATTTTTGCACGGAGAGATAGTCTAAGATCTTTCAGCGGTTTTTAATTAATTGAAACCCAATTCGCCAGATACGTTATACATCATATTCTTATTCTTACTCTAATAAATATTTAGCCATAAGTTCAACGTTGCATAAGTCGTGCTCAAAATTCTTCGAAGCTAAACGCATTTTACCCACTCGCACGCGCAATGTATCATTTTCGTTTACGAAAGCAGTTCTGTGAATGATAAAATAAATAATCGCACGCAATAACCTGCCACGGGCGCCTGTTTCTTGTTATTATTGTCAATGAATCACGTGGAACGCAGTTTATAATATATGATTGAAGCACCGTTTGAAACTGTGTATCGAAAGTTGCGTGCAAGGTTGCCAACCATAGATGTTTCCCTCGTACTTCTGCAGCTAAAAATTTAGTAATCATAGAATAGGTAAATTTATAGAATTGGTAAATTTATAGAATTATTAAATTTATAGAATTGGTAAATTTATAGAATTATCAAATTTATAGAACAATAAATTTATAGGCCAACGGGTCAACTAACCATAGACTGTAATGAAATATTTTTCCAACAAAATTTTATTTAGACTCAAACAACTGGTAATTAAATAATTAAAATACTGGTTTGGATACTTACAGTTTATGCTCCAACATGTTGTCTACAATGAAAAATCATGTTATAAATTTATCTGATAAAATCTCGTACATATGTGTAGTGTTCTCGTACCTCGCACGGAAGACCAGAAATCTCGTATTTGTACGAGAACACTCGTACGGTTGGCAATCCTGGTTGCGTAGTTGCGGATATTAGCTAAATGTACCAGAAAATTATGCAATAGAAGATTTATCCTAGTATTGTACAAAATGCGAAATTCTGTGTACCTGTTTGTCAGGTGTCTGTCTACTTCTGAGTTACGAGTTTTGAAGCTCATAGAGAAAGGATACTTCAGGGGTCTAAATTGACGACATTGGATGAAATATGTAATACCTCTCTACTGCCCTACCCTGCCTCCTTTCCCTGGGTACGTCTTTGTCTAAGTTGCTGTCCTATAAATACAATAATGACGGAACAAAATATTATTTACTTCCATAAAAATGTCTTGTTGATTATGTCTTTGTCTAAGTATTTTCTCTGTAAGTGGATTTATTGGAAATTCTTTTGAGAAAATAAATGTCTTTGTAGGAAGGCCAAAGGGGAAGATCTTCCTCCGAGCTGGGTGATGGTAGCTTGGGGGCCACAGCCCGACTGATGTTGGTCGGGCATTGTATATATGAACTGTTGGCCGCCGAATATCACTTGTGCGATGTAGGCTTCCATACTATTTGAGTGCAGCGTCGGTAGCGCCATCTCTTGGAGAGGCGAGTGATTAATACCTCTATGTTGGTTATATGTGGGGCATGTAGATGTCGCTGCCACATCTTTAACCATAAAAAACTATGTATGGTACATAGTATTCATGCGTCCATGCTGAGTACGTTACTTTTTTATATGGCCCGTCTGATGGTAAGCGGCCACCATAGCTTATAGATATAGACTTGTGATACCAAAAATATCACTCGCACCCATTACCTACCCTGACCTAATCCCCTACCTCGTGGAGCCAAAAGGTAGTGTTATTTTACTCTGTGGTAGTCTCCTTCTGCGAGGAAGTAATCCTCCAGGAGACAGCAGAGAGGCCCCGCGAGGGGGAAACCCCGGGCCTGCCCTATCCGCCGCCGACGGATAGCGGCGAGCGAATCTAGCGGGCAGCGGACAGGGTGGTCCGTCACCCGCATTGCACAGTCTCACCCGAGGGGGGATGCCTGGGCGCTCCCGGGCATCCCCCCGACCACCAGGAGGAGGAGGAACCCCTGCCGGGGATAACGTGGAGAGACCTGGATCCCACGAAACCCGTTCCGGCAGGCGAGGTAACACTGTTGGGTTTTTAGTGGGTAGCCCCCCCCCCCCCTCATCCCGAGCAGCCGCTGAGCCAGTTTGACTGAGCGGGTGGGCAGGATGTTGGGGAGGATGAGTCCCACATATCCCCGTCCCTCACCCAGGGGCGGGTATGCGTCACGCTTTCTCCCAAAAAAATGTGTTATTTCACTGTCATTTTCTGTAAGGAGAGCACTTCCCTAGACGGATGCTCTTACTAAAAATATTTACAAATTCCAACCGAACTGAAGTAAGTACTATATGAAATGTAGGTCCCACTTACCAATTACCGTGTCATTGCGAGCAGGATAAGTCTGCTTTAAATAGATTCGTCTACTAGTCCATTTATCAATGAGATGCATTCGTAATTTGGACACGTCACTTTTTTGTTCAATTAATCACTGATGTTTTTAATTAACAGATGGTTTACATTAACGCCATTACTAAGTTATATTCCATATTTTTAACGTCAGGAAAACGCGTTACGCGTACCCCACCGCCTTCGGAGAGCGGCGAGGTTATATGGGATTCCTCCCCCTCCTCCTCTCACTCACCCACTCAGCCAGTCAGAGGGCTGCCTCAACGGCTGCTCGAGAGGAGGGGCCCTACCTACTAAAAACCTAATGATGCCCCTCACCTCATCGATGGGCCGGGGCCTCCCCGGGTACGGGATCCACCATCGGGCGGTACACCCCCGACTAGGCAGCGGCACTGTGTGAAGCCATGGGAACCCTTACAGATACATGCACAGCCCCACGAGTGATTCCTTGCCCTGGAATCTTACTCATTGACAGAAACACAGCACCACCAAAAGGTAATGTTACTTTACTGTGATCGTCTGTAAGGTGGAGGTTACTTCCCCAGACGGGCGCTCCAATTCGAGCAGAAATCCGCTGTGCCCTACCTCTTTCGAAAGCCTTACAGAAGAGTAGTCCTTATTCACTAACGGCCTAAGTTAGAACCGCCAATTGAGTGGCGTGTCATCTTAGTTTCGCCGCACACGGGCCACAAGCCACAGCCACAAACACCGCTACGAGAAGCTAGAAGCGGCTACTTAAGTGGCTGAAGCGCGCGACAGCGGCCGACTAAGGTAAGGGAGAGAGGGGTGGGGAATCGCGCGAGTGATTTGGCCGGTGCGGGCCACAAGAAGCGAGCAACGACGATTTGTAGCGTGTGGCGTCCACCGCCGTACCGTGTGTAGCGAGTCCATATAAAATGTATGAACACTACAAGAAATATGCCGGTGGCGGCGTTTTGTGGTTGTGGTCAGTGGCCCGTGTGCAGCGACTATTACAAAGTAAGTGACACGGTATTGACTTCACACAAAGTCAAAAATTATATAACGGGAAGCGCAGTGTCGGTAGATCCCTTACCAGGTGGACAGACGACATCAAGCGAGTCGGGGGGACCCACTGGATGCGGAAACCTCAGGATAGTTGTGTTTGGAGATCCCTTGAGGAGGCCTATATCCAGTCCATCTGCAGATAGGTAATGTATGTATGTATATGTAAAAATTATATGACGTTGCCCTTGCTTGAGCTTATCCTTCACTAATAAAGGAAAATGACTCTTGCTATGGATAGATAATGGTGTCGATTCTGGCGTGATTCTCTAAACTTAAAACTAAATTTAACATCAGTCTCTCCTTTTCATTCTGTATAGAGAATGACAAGGATACACTGTAGTCAAATTTAAATTTAGATTTAGAGAATCGTGCCAGAATCGACACCAATACCTACTATGTTGACTAAACTAAAAAAAACTAACTAAACCTATCTATTATGTTATGTTACTAGATCTTTTAACCTTGCAAAATTACAAAATCCAAAGACCAACTAAACTACATAGTCATGTTATCAGTTCCATTTTAATAGGATTACAGTCAGAGAGGAAGTCACCATGTGGGGCTTCCATTGTCCCCTGTTTTCTAAGAATAGAATATTATTTATTGCGTTTTAACAGGGTAATCAAGGTCACTAATAGTTACACACAACCATACTGTAGCGTTCACCTATTCAGCTATAGACCATAGAATGCAAATTTACATCCCACAAAGTCCCATATAACCTCGTCGCCTTACCCAGCGTGCGGGCTATGCGTAACGCATTTCTCCGGGTAAAAAAAAAGGTTTTCATCCATATATGGAATATCCTATGTCTCAATCCATTGAGACATATTATCAATAGGATATTCTTTAGATTAATTATAGGTTCCTGTGAGATTCTGAAAAGACTAAAGATAACGCGAGCGAAGTCGCGGGCGGCTGCTAGTATAAAATTGATGAAGTACTCAAGTAGTTTATAAAGTTCGAATCCCTTCTGCTTCCTGGTCCGCATGGAATCTTTTCTCTAAAATTTTCTTTAGATCTAAACATCTAGCAGTTAAATGCGTAAAAATAAAAATATACTTAATTCATAGTTGTAGTGTAGTGTTCATAGTGTTTTTCTGTGATTTAAGTCGGCGTTTTTTTTCGATTGTTGTTATTATTATATTCAGCGTATATTATATGCAACAAGTTTACAAAACTACTCGCGCGAAGATGTTTCTTAAATAAATCTACTTTGTACGTAGGTACTTATTTCTCAATATAAAAGCAATGACCACACAACTGCTCTTTAACAGCTCAACCAGATGCACAGCAGCCATTCGCCAAACACATAATTTTTCTTTTATTAACATCAGATCGGGCCATAACCAATTAATTTTGAGCTACTTCAAACATGAATACTACAACACTATATTATATGAACCTATAAACGCAGAAGCTCTCTTAGAAACGGTTTTTAACAAATTGAGAGTTTTCATAATAGGTTCTTTGTAATGGACGATAAAATGTTTCATTGAGTTCAATGACGTATAAATAAAAAAAGATTATAGGTCGAGTTGATAGTTGTCAGTTAGCTTCGAATTGAACTGAGACCAACATTTTGTAAGTTCATCGTCATCATCAGCCTATTAATGTCCCCACTGCTGGGGCACAGGCCTGCCCTATGGATGGAATAGGGAGATTGGGCCATGACCCACCCCGCGGGCCCAGTGCGGATTGGCGGGTGCTAACGACTGCAAATGCAGCCGGGACCAACGGCTTAACGCGCCTTCCGAAGCACGGAGGAACTCGAGATAGAAGATTTTTGGTCACCCATCCAATGACCGACCATTGCGAAAGTTGCTTAAATTCAACGATCGCAACCGAACGCGCTAACAACTTGCGCCATCGAGCTCCTCAGTTTTTGTAAGTATTTGCCTGTTTACTAAGTAGTTTTAAATATTTTGCTATTGTTCAAACGTCATCATCAAAACGCTGTTGCTAATTCTTCGGCCTTGTTATTATGAGTTGGTCTTTTTCACACAACGAGATCACAATTTAGCTTTATGATTCAGAGTTAAAAATCATTTTGAGTGCGATTTAAAATAATGCAGACCAGGACGCACTACGTATTTGTTTTTCATCAACGATATTAAATACCCTAGATACACTAACACGAACAAAATCATGCCCGAAACCTGTCCACAAGGTACATTGGACAATCCGCGGAGCTCCGTAAGATGATCGCGTAGTCTAAACAATATAAGGCATTATTTAAACATTGAAAATCACCTTCAAAGCATACTGTATAAGGTCGTAATTAAAACGCACGCGTCCTAGAGTTACGACTTATTGCTATATACAGAAGAATAAAGACCTTATTTCTTTGACTGTACGCGCAATTCGGAATGCGCTGTTAGTAATATAGCAGGTACGGTCCGCAAGGAAAAGAGACGGCTATAGTATCGACCATGCAATTGAATATCACAAATATTTTCTATTAAATCAGTTTATAGTAAGTATTAAAACAAAATTTACTTCAAATACGTTAAATTAACAAACATTGATTAGATACCTGTCGAAAAAACGTCATTTTACATACTTTATGTATTTCATTCGCCTGTTTTCACGGAGCTCAGTGGCATGTTGACTTTTCAACGGTCCGCGCGTGACTGTGAATCAAGAAGTGCTTGAGTCGTGTTCAAGCACTTCTTGATTGGGACACATTTTGAGCGCACGTGGTGTATCTAGGGTATTTAATATCGTTGTTTTTCATTGTTAAAAGGGTGGCAAAGAAGCGTATGGTAAGCGGCCACCATAGCTTATTGACGCTTGCAAGACCAAACATATCAGTTCAATCATGATAAGAAATTGGGTTCATCCTCAGTATAAGTGGAAATTAAATCAAAAGGATTTATTACAATGAATTGCGTATATTTTTCTAAAACGTGCAGACAAACAAGTGCACAGACCAACGGGCAGCAGTACTAATAATTTTTAACTATACATTTTTTTTTTGTTATAAATACTAAAAAAAAAATGAAAAAAAATACTTACGCTGACTTTATAATTTAATATGTCTAGTTTTCAAAACACCCCTTTTTTATTGATTTAGTGTCTAACTTGGGAGATAAGAGCGATTTTATATTGTAAAGCATCACATAGCGGCTTATCGAGAGTAAAGCATTCCCATACGCTTACGTGTTGCGAGGCGTGCAATATCAATTGCACCGTTACCTACGCCGACTCAATTCCATATCCCATGGAGCTCTGGAACCTTAATCACCGACAGAGACACAATACCACCAAAAGGTACTGTTACTTTATTGTGATCTTCTATAAAGTGGATACTTGCCCAGACGGGCGTTCCAATTCGAACGGGAGATCCGCTATGCCCTACCTCTCTTACTTATAACGCTACCCGTTATTATAACACTGCAATCGGACAACTGGCTGTCGGAACCGCTAGTCCGTATCATTAGTTTAAACAATGGAACATATACCCATGGAGACAGGACTGGACCCGTGGTCCGAGAGGTAGTGTTCCTTTACAGTGGTCTTCCGTAAGGTGGTTACTTGCCCAGTCTGGTGCTCCAATTCGAGCGGGAAGCTTGAAGCTCCTCTATGCCCTATCTTTTCAATGTTAATGTTTTGAAGGGAAACTTTTATACTAAATATAAACCACAAAACTTACTTTGATCGACTTCACTCCATTCTTCCGCCTCGCCTTCCTGATGCAGCCCTTGCAGGCAGCTGGTGCAAAAGCTGTGCAAGCAGGCCAGCAGCCGCGGCTCCACCAGCTCCTTGCGGCACAGCCCGCACTCCCATCCCTTCACCTCCACACCCTTGTACGCCGACGTCCTCGGAGCCACATTCAGGTTCTGGCTGGCAGGCCGCTGCAACCTCGGCCCCCGCAACGGACTATTCCCAGCACTTATCGAAGACTGCTCCAGAGATTTCCTCTTGTCCTGTTTCTTTCTCGTGAAACTTCCGAAAATGTAAAGAATACGGTCCACTTCCATTTCTCTCAAAACAACGACATTGTGAATAACCTAATTAATCTATGCTACTTAAACGTTTTCGCGCGGGAAGTTGCGTTTCCTTCCAATACGAAAATGGCGCGGTATTGTAAAACTTTTTTTTTTCTTCTTGTTCTCGTATCCCGAAATCATTTGAGAGTAATGAAGGATAACAATAACGTGCAACCGTATGGGCGCGCCGCGACCGACTGAATATTAAACTTGAACGTAAACATAGGATACGAATTGACATCGGGAGTTGCTCCAAGAGACGTCGAAATGCTATCAATAAACATTGTGTGATTGATCTTTGAAAGCTTAGAACCGTTTAACATTATCTGATGTATGTACAATGAAGCAATGGGTAGCATGTGCCACTTTTACGAGGTAATCGCTTTAGCGAACGCGATGGAAGTCTTATTAAAGCACGTGAGTGCAACTGATTTTTGCCTTATATTGGTAAACCATAGAGTTTTTATTAACGTTCTTCTAAATATATTTCTCAACATTAAAGAAGCGTATTATATAATACTAAGTACCTACTTACTCTACCCTTAATCTAAAAGGTTAACTATTACTTTTTACTGCTTCACTGCTGGATCAGTTGGATGTCACAATTTTCTTGTAATTGGTGTCGATTCTGGCGTGATTCTCTAAACTTAAAACTAAATTTAACACCAGTCTCTCTTTTTCATTCTGTATAGAGAATGACAAGGAAACACTGTTGTCAAATTTAAGTTTAGATTTAGAGAATCGTGCCAGAATCGACACCATTAACAACATAATAACATCAATCTCTATATTTTTTACATATTTGGCAAACGTAATTATATACTTACGAAAACCCACGGAATCATTAAAAACTTACTATTGATACATTAGGAAACTGTACTTAAGAAGTTCCTTTTACTTTCCCCTTCGAAATAACATTTTCTAGACAAAACAGGATATTCACTATATTGGGGATGGGGATGTCGATGTGTGATTTACGACTCGAACGAGGATTCAACTAACTGCTCCAACATCATGTGTCATTTCGTACGTTTGAGGGATGATCAGGGTAATGCATTAGAAGTGTTCTATTCCTGTTTGTATTACCCTTGTCATATCTCATATACTTGACAATCGGAGGGGAGTGAACTATAGTTATTTTAAAACAAATAATAAAAAGACTATTTTACAATCCTCGATTAACATGGTGAAATAAAAGAAAATAAGGAATTTCACTATTTTTTGAAAATCAAAAATGCCTTAACTGTGTACTCTACATGTATTATATGTATACTGTTTACAAAAAAAGTAGCTAAAGAATTATTGGCTTATCTAATAAGCACCTACTTTTTATCTATTTAAACAGAAACATTAATAAAGCAACAGTGTAAACTTTGCAAAGTTTAATGACACCGAAACTAAACCGTTTTAATTTAGTAAATAATTTGTTTATAATTTTATGAGCGTAACATTTACACGTGCGAACTGAGAGAACGGCTGGATGAGGTGCGATAAACGCTCATATTTTCGCACTTGTATATTTAAACAGCTGATATAAACAGACACTTTAAGACACTTCCTAATTACGAGAAAGTAGCAATGTAATTTTTATTATTTCAAACGTTCAACCATGACTCACCGCAATAAAATTGTATTTGCTTAATTCAATTAAATATGTACTTACTAAATGGTAATTTTATTTTGTTTTTTTGTTTAGTATCAAACGTCATTGCTTTCACATCAGTAATATTACCTGAGTGCTAATTTTAAGAGAAAAAATGTAAGTTAATAAATAAGTGTGAATTTTCAACTTTATTCGATAACGTTTAAAACATTGTCAAATTACCATATAAAGGACATCACCAACGATTTAATTCCATAATAAAAACTTTTTGACTAGTTTTTATTTAGCTTCTTAATTTAAAATATTATTCTAACAAAGTGCGAATCGGAACGTGAGCCACTGGCCAGTGACCTAATTTTCGCGGCAAATCTAATGTCAGGCCGCCAGCGAGTTTTACAATTTGGCGCGCGCCCGTGTTTCGTGGCGTCCATTCGGAAACTGAGATTAGCATCAGGATTCACCTTGAAACATGGTCTAAAACTGTTTCCTATAGATTGCATAATGCTATTGAAACATTAATGTTATTGTTCTGTCCACGTACTTTTTGTAGGTCGATGCGTATGCAACCGACTAAAATATATCATTGCAACCGACTCTACCTTTTTTCTGGGGTCTTAGTTATCTCGGTAAGTAAATCCTTTTTAAAGAAAATTCGACATGGCCCTCAGGACTGCGCTAGCATAATGGTCAGTGCATTCGCCCGGATAGCGAAAGGTGCGGGTTCGAGTTCCGTCGGCTGCCTGGTCCGCCTGTAATTTTTTCAAGTTTAATTTTCTTTAGATTTAAACTTCTAGCAGTTAAATGATTAAATAATAAAAAATATTACTATATTTTTTATTTCTTCTTTCAAATGTTAAATACCTACTTGTATAGATATTCATTTGATATTGTGGGATATCTACAATGCGAAGAGATGGCGTTTTTAGTTAAGAAAGGCTAGAGGAAAATTGACACGGCTATCAGGGTAGCGGGAGCATAATGGTCAGTGCATTCGCCCGGATAGCGAAAGGTGCGGGTTCGAGTCCATTCTGCTGCCTGGTACCCGTGGATTTTTTTCTAGTAAAATTTTCTTCACATTTAGGCATCTAGCTGTTAAATGCTTAAAAAATAAAAATATATGGGTGCGTGTACTTAAGTACGCGCGTGAGAAGTTATACTTCTTTTTGGAATTATTAAAAAATAGTTTTTAATTGCATGCAGATAATTAATTACAATAAGATAATAAAAGGATTGGAAAAGGATAGTCAACGCAGTCAATAAAGTTCAGTTTTAATTTGAAAAATTTAATAAATAATCAAAATATTCAGTGATTTAATCACTACTGAATAAAATTTATTAGCACATATAAATTTCGCATTTGTATAACATTATAACACGTGTTAGGAATATAGAAACTAGAAACATGTGGATAAATATTATAAATATGAAAACAGTGATCAGAGGCGACGAGCGTCCCAACATGTGCGACTAAGAGATCCTATTACTATTTTGTTGGAAGCTTTTTTTCGAGACTTACGAGTAATGTGCGGTTTAGCGGCCGACTTCATGTTACTTTTCTGTTACAGTGTTGGGCGTGCATCTTAAAATTTCACTCTCATCATTTTTTCATAACGCGCCCGCGGCTAACTTCATTATGTTACTTTTGTGTTACAGTGATGCGCGCGCATCTTAAAATTTCACTCTCATAATTTGTTCATAACGCGGCTAAAGAAGTATAACTTCAAAAATATATGTCCTTTTTAGCTGTCGCGTCAAATAAGATAATAGATAGTTCTTTATGCAACTGTTGGTTATTGAGGGCCAATTGAGGGCTATTAAAACACGAGTGTGGGTTTATAAGACGAGGCGTAGCCGAGTATGATAATAATAATAAATAAATAAATATTTCCAACACTCACACCAATTAGCCTAGCCCCAAAGTAAGCACTAAGTAAGGCTTGTGTTATGGGATACTAGGGTAATGGATACAATTCATATACTATATATAAAGAGTGTTACAAAAATACAAATTAAGCTTGAAGGGCGTTGAAGTACATCATTATGGAGTTTTCTCTAATTTTCTTAAAATATTTGCATGAAGTTTGAATTTTTTATAAAAACAGTTATTTTTAATGGTCCTCGAACTAGTGACGTGTCTTATAATGACCGATATTTTTATTCAATCATACCTACGCCATCGAGTTCGGTGGAATCTCGGCGGGCACCTAGTCGCGAATGCGCCGCAGCGACGACCGAACGGTATGAATTGTTTTTATGCAGTTAGCCGTGCTTAAACGTGCGATTTGTATTGTAAATATTTGATTGAATCAAGTAGATACCTACATAATTTAATATGGCAAAGAACAAACGACGATATTGTGCTGTATTTGGTTGCTTGAACTCTTTAATATGAGTATACTCTTTAGTATAACTCTTTTATATATAACGCACACAGAGATATCATTTTTTAAATTACCTGAAATATTGGAAAGGGAAGACCATAGAATATTTTTTTATATACCTATCTACCAGTACGTAATTTGTTTTTAATATTTAGGTATTTCGATTTTTCCATTGGGCAAAATATCTGAAATAATATATAAATAAGTGGATAGGGTGAAAAAAGAGACAAACGAGTAATCTACCTACACTCACGTTAAAAACAAAACTATGTAATAGGTATGTAGTTTCTTAAACTAGGCTATCAACTTACTTAACTACATACATTATTGAATAACTAAACTATATACATTATTGAATTAAATGAAATGTCATTATGAAATAATTTACTACAGTAAATGGTAGGTATTGTAGTGATCGGATATTTTTGGTGTATACTGGCAGCTTATTAGGTAATTTGGAAGAGACGGATTGTTGACAGGAATTGATAGCTGGAAAAAAAATAAAATTTGTGCAGAGTTTAAAAAATAGTATTTTGTTTATTGATAATAATAATGTAATTTCTTGAAAATAAAAGTGTTTCAATGACAATAATTAGTTTGCATGAAATGATCCCTACAATACCTACCTAGTAAGATTTAACTACATTGTAGGTAATTTCCTTATCCGACTGCGCCATGACTTACAAATAAATATAACTTTTATGTTTAAAATAATATTCTTTTATTGATTTATCTAAGAATAAAAATCAGCAGTCGGGTTTTTACAAGCTTTTAATTATCTTGCAATATAGGTAAGTATATAACTTTGTTTGTTCGGATGGAATCCTGAAACTCAATTTTGAAGCAGATATCTTCAACCGGTTGAGCTGAAATTTTGTATATACACGTTTTGATTAAAAAGCACGGTTAGCTGTGTGACGTCATTCTAAATCCAACATGGCGGAATAGTTATTTTTAATGCATTCCTACGATATGGGTATATGGGCTTGCGGAGAATCTTTCCATCTAAAATGAAATATTTACAATCACAAAACAAGAAAGAAACTCAATTATGTAGATGAAATTAAAATACTGCTAACGCAGCGCGCGGCCGTAGGCATTTATTTCAAGGACAGGGCGGAGTCACAATACTGTATAGATAATATTACCGTGACCAAAGGCTTAAAGTGCCTTCCGAAGCACGG